TGCGATCGCCCGTCGTAGCGCGCCTCCCACATGTGGGAGGCGTCAACCTTGTAGTAAATAAGTTTTTTGCCGGTTGCTGACACAGCAGTCTTATCGAGACCAGAGAGTTGTAAGCTACACGAACGGCGGGGTGAGCATTCCCTCAATGCTCGCGTCGTGTGATTTACTCTGAAAATCCAATCATGGTAAGACGCTCTAGATGGACGTCCGGCTTGCTGAAGTAAGCTTCTAAAGCCTAGAGAAGTATGAGGCAACGTGTTTTCCTCAGTCAATGTGTGAACTTAGTCTGATACACAGCGGCGCTTTTGCCAACTCCCAGTAACCATGATGGTTGTCTTACAAGCGTGTAAGCCCCAGTTTAGTCCGCATCTCAGCGGGAAATGCCTAACAGGGCAAGCACTGTAATCTTATGTACTTAACCACTACAGCTTTGTACATTTGTATTCAGTACAATTGTACCAAATTCATATTCCACTTTGTGTTATTATGAATAAATATTAGCTTTGGAATATCGGTATGTATGAAGATGATAATTGAGGAGTGTTGAGCTGCAAACGTGGACTAGCGAAGCAAACGTGATGGCCTTAGGTACTCGTGGTTCTTCTATGTATTGGAGCGCACGATACCAAATTTGTTCACGCGGACTCTGAAAATATTTTTTTCCTCGCAAAAGTCCTCGGCAACCCCTCATATAATTAAGTATGCGGATGTAAAATATAGTGTTGTTACAGCTGCTTTTTTCGTGAAAATTCGAGAATTTCCCATGATAAGAGTGACCTTTACAAGTAAAGAATGATGATTATCAATTGACCAAAATGAAAGAGAATTGAAGCTCAAACAAACATGAAGCGATAAGCTCGTTCATAATCAGATTGAAATAGACAGTTAATGAGCTGATGCAACATTACTGCTGACGCTGCGCTGGGATTACTGCTGCTTAACGTGTTTACTGCATCTTTAAGTGGGCTAGTCCTAAGAAAATTACAAAGTGCGACACGTTCCTGAGCTGGGACAACATGATATCTACTCCCGTTCTTATCCTAAAAAGAATATAACAGCAACAAAATCAAATTGTGGCTTGATCCAAAGCTGGACCGCACGAGGTCAGAGGGACAAGAATGAAAATTTTGGAACTTTTATCAGCTAGTTAGTGTGCTAGCTCACTTTTTATTACCCAAATTATGACTGTGGACATTTTTTGAATACTTTCACCTTAAGTTGTTTGCAAGAGGTCCTCATTAAATTGAGGCAGCTAACCCTCTCATTTTAGAATTGCACTTTTTTGATATATTTTTGGTAAACTTCAAGTTCATAAGTCTCACAATTCAACTGATTTTGTTATTGAAATCGAAATATTTACAGGGATTTCTCTGGTTGTAATTATCAGCCTGAAGTTCCGGTATTTATTGGAAGCGTAATCTTTACGGAAGGTGAGAATATCGCAAAATATGTCATTAAACAAAATATCAAAGAGCTTAAAAGCTATGAGCCGGTCTTTCATAATATAATGACGTATCCTGTCATAAATCTAGTAGCAACGTGTTATACTGTTAAAGTATATTTAGGTTTGTTACTTCGACGTTTCGAGCTCTTGAGCTGCCTCACAATTCAAACTTGTATATGCAAGCATTTTGAGGCTGCTTCTCCTGCCGAAGCCGTGCACTGCTTGCTAGACCATTTCGTCATCATTTAAGCGGCCAGTCAACTGAGATCAATGCAATCGGGAGGTGCACATAGTATATTCATGTCAGTTCCGCGCCTTATATATCAGAATCAGCATATTCATAAAGCAGTGGAATTTTAATAGGTAGCACATTGAGCTAGCTAGTACTTGAATAGTCGCCATTATTGTGGAATCCTACTAAAATTATAAATTATTATTTAATAATGTCCCGTCACACTAGATCAGATTTGGCAGCATGGAAATGCGCAAAAGGAGGATGAGACACTTCGATGTATCAGATTACGTTTGCTCAAAACTGCGACTCGAAATTGGCGCTATGCTATTTCTGGTCATTAAAATAACGCATACGCCTAATATCACAACTTTCAAAGTTTCGTGCTGTCTAGCTCCTTGAGTGGATGCTGCTACGAAAGATAGTAAATAGTTATGTAATTGTGACTTTAGGCTCCAAATACCATATTTTAGCACAGATTTAATTACCACTTACTGTTTATCTTCAGTCTTCAGCCAAACATTTATATGTTTACTATATAGTAATTTTGTATAAACACGTTTGACTACTAAATGTGTAATTTAAATAGACGAAAATTTACTTGCTCGCATTAGTTCGAGTCTTACGCACAATGGCGCCTGACTCTTCTGTCAAGTGGGGAGTCACACCAAGTCTTGCTGTGCGGCAATATATTACACAGTATGGCAGCTCATCAATCACAAAGACTCCGGTCTTATTCAGTGTACTACATAGTCAGTAGAATGTTCACAACTGAGAAATCTATTTTCCGGCTATTACGCTGCTAACAGATTATAAGGCGCTTGTGCTTCGTGAAAGTACAGATTGTAAGCGCATGATCTGAAGCTATCCCTAAGTTGATATCTTAAAATTTAGCCATCCCGAAATTTGCTTGTTTTATCTGTTGTGTTTCGTTCCGTCTCGAGCAAAACTTCTAGTTTGGACTGAAATTTCACTGTCTGACCTCTTTACACAGCATAATGTTGTAGCTCAGTTGTTAAGAACACAGCAGAACCGTCAGACGATAGCCAAATCGCTAAATACTTTACAAGAATGTGGCGGCAGGAGATCGAGGAAACGCAAGACAAAACTCCTCAGGGTCGCGCTCATGATGCTCAAGGTGGAATGATGCGAACCATGTTCTGCGGACATCTCGCCGCTATAAAAAGGAAGATCAGAGCAGTGACCTTATCACGTGTCTTGTCATTTGTATTTAGATTTTTTGCTTCATCACCTGCATGAATCTACGAACAACTCGCAGGCGAATAGTGTTCAATGGCATGAAGAGGTACGTGAACAAGGCTTCACCATGAGCCAACTCGCATGATATTTGCTGAATGCATGGTCTTAGACGGACAGAGAGCCATTGCGTAGTGCGATCCGTAGCAAGCATCTCACTGCTGATGCTGCTTCAGCTGCTCCTTGGTCAAATACGACAATGAGCAGAAGCGAAATAGATCGAAACTGGAGCGCACGGATCCGTGCATCCATTGCACGCTTAATAGAGATTGATGGAGTATCTTTAGACTCAGAAAGCTATGCAAAGTTAACAGAGGGGCATGTAACAAGAGAATCAGATCAAGCCTTCCAAGCTAGAGTCGATCGATTGCAGGCCGCAAGTAGAGAAGCTCACAAAGAGTACTTAGGACGATTGCACAATGTACGCTCGACCTCGACAACGAAAAAAATGAGGCTTACGGCAAAATCGTCAGCTCCTTCTTCAGCTGCGGAATCTTTATCGTTTGCACGTCCTCCAGCGTCGTCTCGAACTAGATACCCAGCATTAGATACGCTAGCTGTGGCCGCTACCGAAAAAATGGAAGAGCATGAGCGCCCAAGCAACCCTCCAACACTTGAATTGAATAAAGACAAGCGAAGCAATCGTCAACAAAACGCGCTGCCTTTGACAAGTAGCTCAGGTAAACTGACTATAGTACCATTGACATTCAAAAACTGTTTCATTCCATTCTAATGTTGTAGGATGTATGAAAATCCCAGTGCAAGTTCACGACCCACAATTGGTCCGTGCTATTGACAAACTCACTGACAAGTTAGCGCAGCTCCTTCACCAGCTACAAGCAACATCAGATGCAGATGCAGCTGAACCTATACTCGCGGCCGCCGCAGCAATTGCATTGGAAGCCACAGAGATCCGTCGGTGTGAAGAAGTGGCTCTAGCGCGAATGGTGGAGATCGAGGAGCATCGCCAGCAGATTATGCAAGGATTACTAGAGTATGCAAAACGTAAGGAGCAGCGAGGCTCGGTCAACAGCCACAAAAGTGGCTTAAAGCCGAGCAGCTCCGCTAATACTCATGACAGTCAACGAAACAGCGGCACCAAGGCAGATGATAAATGACTACCATGCGTTTGTACAGCATGTGATACCATGTGTGTTTAGTTAACAGGTGAATTGTTCGATTCATTTATCATTCGAACATTATATAGCCAGAGGTCTCTTCAATTATTAAGTGGAAGAACACCGTATGAATAAGCACTCTCGAAACAGCACAATGTCGTGCTCTGTAATGTTACGACCGTGACAAATGCTACCTGTGTGGCTCACTTAATTGCGATACCACGAAGTATGGCTTGAAAAATCATGACGCACGATCGGTTCGCAGACAGGTATACGACCATGATAAGTACGCGAGCAGTGATGCAGTTTGTGGCTGGGAGGAGCATCGACATCAACGGAGTAGCAGATACGAATTACACAAGTCTTGTGGAGTTCTGCTTTTCTTACGGACTTGCTGGTGGCAAAGGAATGTCCAGGAGCGCGACAGCAATATTAAATATATCCCCGTTAACGCCCTCCTCTTAACGCTGCCACCCCATCGAAGCATTTACAAATAGAATAGGGCTTAATTGCTTACATCAGTAACGACAGCTTGTCATGTTGTCTTGTTTACCAATCGTCGGGTTTCTCCCAGGTAGAAATGCCAGTCTGTTTGTTATAGTAAAAGATTCTACCTGCACCTTCATCCCACTGCTCGATCCACGGATTTTTTAGGCCCGTCTGCTTCACTTTCTTTCCAGTCAAACGAAACTCTTGGCGTTCGATTTCTGCTGCCTCTTCCTGTTGTTGCTGTGCAAGTTTTTCCTTTAAAAAGCTTTCTTCATCTCTCATGACATTATCGATAATAGCTGCACCCGCCGCAAATTGGCCAGCCAACTCTTGCGTCTTTGCTACAATTTTCGCTCCTGCTCTTGACTTGGTCATCGTGTGTTTCATTTTCTCCGTTATCTTCTCGACAAGACCTTCGGGTTGTCTTGCGATTGTCATGCCATTATCAGTCTTCCCAGCTGCAGGCCAAATCTGCTGGAGCTCGACTAAATAATTGCTCTGTACGTGCAATCGGAACGGCCCTTCCATACCACATATGTACGCAGCTACCAGCAAAGTATAAGTGCGAGCAGACAGCTCGCACTGAAGTCGAACTTCTCGGTTTCGAATTGGTACACCGCTATGCGCAACAACATTGTCCTGATTTAGAAAGGTTACACGTCGTGCTCGATCCTTTTGGTCTTGATGAGCCACAATGTACACTGCTATGGGCAGCACAGTCACTGGAGCCAAGCCATGTGAGTCCACTTGCGTAACCGTGACGATGATCTCTGTTGGACGCGATATGCGTAATGAAAAGTGAGGATTTTTGTCAAGCCCCTTGCATCCAGGGTTATGCCGCGTTGGAAGGCCGCTAGAAGTGACATCTTCGCGCGCGAAACAAGCATATAGTGCCTGGACAGTCCACTTCGCAGGATCGTAGTACCGACATACGTAGAGCGCTCGGAAGGCATGACAAAAATCATCAAAGCTCATCCAAAATGTGTTGTCTGTCTCCGTTTCCTTGCCCTTCGGCATGTCAAGACGCTTGCGTAGTCGGCGAGTCCAGAGACGTGAGTTATCGCTCCAGTCACCTTTCCATTCTTGATGGTCACCTGGTGGATTTCGCAGCCGCAGCAGTTGCACACCATCCAGCTCTCGCACATCGTATATAACATAGCAGGCATCAAACACTAGACCAGTTGCTTGCAGTGCTGAGTCTGCGTGCTCACTCGGCAAAGAAGATGCGCCGAGAAGAAACCGATTCTTGCGAAATAACTTTAGCTGTTGCCACAATGTCTTTTTCAATGCACCGCGAGCTGCCGGAGCTAAGAATATTTCATCGCACTCACAGCCAGACAACACCCGAAGAGCATGATGCACATAGCCACGTTCCAGAGCCGCGTATCCTCCGTAATATTTTGCAAACGCCTTCTCAACCAGCGGAACCCATAGCTCTTCAAAATTGCGACTGTGTGCGAACGCAACTCCTGCACTAAGCAAATGCTCAGCTTCTTCCCCAGCGCCTATGTCAGCAGCTTGACGCTCGCTTAAATCGTATAGAACTGGAAAATAGTCATCAACAATCACCGTCTCCCATTGACAATTCTGGAATAAACGCAAAGCATAAGCTCCCGTGAGAGAAGTTTGTTTCGTCACAAACAACCGATCGATTAAGAAATCGACTTTGCCATCATCAACACCACCAGACGCAGCCAAAATACTCAGAGCACTCAGCAACCAGGCATCATTTAGACGGCCGACTCGAACATCATCAGGATCTGTGCCTCCGTCAAACAATCCTGCGGCACCGTTTATAGCCGATGCTACCTTCCACTGTGGTGCAATTTCTACTTCATATATACATCCAGTGAGTGAAGTCGTGTCTGGAGGAAATTCTTGATCCACAAATTGCAATGATCGACCATACTCATCTGCAAGACAAGAATAACCCGACTCGATTTCAGACAAAGCTTCTCTTGCATTCAAAAGACCTTCATCGTAGCCAGATTTACGTTCTTCTTCTTCAGAAAGAATTCCTTCGCTTTCGCGACGTAGTCGACGAGCCACATATTCTTGCATCCGCTGATGACACTGTTGAGCTTCGTATGGTGCCCAGTATGCACGAAGTTCCTCTTGCTCGACCACAGCTGCACGATCCTCAGCATCTACAATGGCATCCATGCGCTCCATTTCTACATTAAATGTTGCTTTAAGATCATGAAATTTCGCTCGTGCTTCTAGAGTAAGCGAAAGCAACCACACAGCTACTAATGGAATGTCGATCGATGCAAAGGAACTTGTGCGAAAGACATTTGCCGGGGGATTTATGCCATTAGACATGAGCTTGAAGCGATTCTCCCGCAAAAATTTCTGAAAAAGGATTTTCTCTCGACTCAAGCGAGCATCTGAAGCTGTTAGCATTAAAAGTTGCAAATGAATCACACAGCGAGTTTCTTCGTAAAATGCACGGTCTAAAGCCGCATCGAGCTTTGGTAACTGCAGCAGGAGCTCAAACAAATCTTTCGGCGGGAGGCTTGTCTTCGAATCAATTTCATGAGTTTGTGGTGAGACTGTGAGCGTGCTATCACCCCGTTCAAGACTGTAAGCTTGTACATCATCATTTTTATCAACCTCCACCTCCTTTACAACTTTGAGGCTTGACGGAAAATAGCGCAATTGTATAAACCGATATACTCGCGGAGGAATTGTGAGCGCATAAAAGAAGCCAAATGGACCTACACCACGCTGAAATACGTCCTCTTTTACTTCTTTCCATGAAAGGAATCCATCTTTTCGAGGAATTTCGAGACCATTAATGTCTCTTGTATACCGGCATTGACGTTTAGTATCTTCAATATCTAGTGCTATGTCACCACACTTAGACTGTAGCCCATTTTTAACTTTGTCCTGTTCTTCTTTTGCTTTTGCTGCTTTCTTTCGACTCACAAGTGCTGAATCGCCGTTAGCAATGGCTTGAAACTCGAGCTCAGCTAGTTTTTCTCGACGCTCCTGCTCTACAAACTCTGGGGACTCGAGAGTAAAAGGCTGACTACGACGACAGAATACTAATTGAGCTGCTTCGCTGGCATCTTTAAGAATCATTTCATTCATGTACTTTGCAGCAATGCCCATTTGTACAGGTGTGATAGCGCACAGATGAGCAGTGACGCCAGCGCAGGTAAGTAAAACGAGACTACAAAGTCCGACACCAAAACTTAGAGGATCAACAAACATGACACCAGCAACGCCCCAGAGGAAGAGCAATAGAAATACCATGTAGAGTGAGAGCACATTGTGCGTCTCGTCCACAACATTATTGGTGAAGGCATTGTATGAAAAGACAGGAAAGAGGTAGGGTGAGTAGAAGACTGATTCATCAGCCGAGCGCTTTGCAATGATCCAGCCAGCAACAAAGAGAAGTGAATATTTTAGAAGGAGCACCATAAAGACGATAGAAAGACAGGTGAAGAAGCTCATGCCTAACATTAGAGCCGCAATGATAGCAGCAATCGTGGCACTTAAAACGATAAAGCTAGCCTGTCGTTGGTACACTGGGGCGAGGAAATGGTCGTTCTCGACCCATTTGACGACAAAGTACGTGATAAAAAGATATAGTGCCAGTAAAAATGTCAAGACGCCACCTAAGGTAACACTAACAAACACATACATCTCACAGATCCAAAGAACAATCGCGCCAATGCAGAATCCACCAATACCACGGATAGGACGCGTGATGATCCAATTCTCGTCTTGCCAGCGACATAGCGTGACCGCAAAGAGTAAAAAGATTGGATAGAATACCAAAATTGAGAGAACCACCAGAGACCCAACCTGATTCACATCGGCCTTGAGCGCAGCGAAGAAGAACACAAAACCAGTAATCCACGCTAGCAATGCACTCCCCACGTAACAAAATTTCATCTCAGAGGTAACTGTCGATGTCTTGAAAAATTTAATCGTTGGAAATATTGTAAAGATCAGAACATAAGTTATTGTCCAAACGATCTGTCCAAGCCAAGAGGGATTTTCAGTGGCAGTAAGAATCATCCCGTAGAGCATAATCAATGCCAGTAGTACGACGAATGAACCGATTGTTATGTGATCCTGCGGTAGTAAATATCCTTCCTTATAAGCCTCGTAAAGTGTCATCTTCGTAAAATCAATATTGTTATCTCCCCCTGAAGTCGCCAATTTCCGACGAGCCAAGATCATATTATTGACATCGTTGTCATTAAGCAATGGACGTGCAGCATCTTCATCATCGTCGTTCAGGGAGGGACCCGTAGATTGATTGTTATGGTGTCGTAAATCGGGTTCTTCTTTCTTGTATTTTTTCATCCATTTATTGCGCGAGAAAAAGGCATGCCAACAGCTCACAAGGCCTTTATTCCAAACCAAGCTAAGTAATTTTGCAGCTGATAGACTTAGCAGTGTGTCGTCGTCTCTATCCTTGGAAGCCTCCGAAAGATTATCCGATGCGTTTGAAGTGTTATGTTTCGAAGTCGCGTTGTCTAAGGAGGAAGTAATTTTGTTTTTTCTAGAGATCAAAGGTCCTTGTTTCTTGACTGGAGTCGTAACCCCTAAGTCTCCACTACCAGAGTTTTCTAACACACTCATGGACGGCAGGTTTGGCATTTTAAATGTCTCATCGAGCCCACCAAAATTTTGATTCGTTTCTTTGCCCATTAAAGGAGGGATGACAAAATTCTCTCGCATAAGCTCTGCTTCTTGCTCGACTGCTGCTGCCTCATCCAGTAGACCGTCATCATCTAGCACATCGTCGTCGTCATCTTCAGGAGGCCAAATGACAAGACGATAATCGTTCTTTTTCCATTGTGCATATACTGCTAACGACAACATGAGAATGAGAGGTGCGAAAAATGAAGACTCAAGGATGAATGTTGACTCTGTCGATGCATAAACAAACAGACCCCAACAGATAATAAGCACTTCCGATGCAGCAGCCAGCATATACGGTAATCGCCATGGCCGAACAAAAAGGTAAACGTTTGTAGCATAGTTTGATAAAAGTTGTTCTTTCTGTAAAAATAATGCTCTGGATGTGGCAAGTGAAAGACCAACGAAAAGGACGACAATGAATGCTAGTACGCCAAATATCCACAGCGGCCACTCCTGACCTAAGACTGGCACGTGAATGGTCTGGTTAGCATTCGAATCAAAAGCAACGCCAAGCAACAAAAAGAGATAGAAAAATGATAGAAATCCCAGCACAAACTCGGGCATAGTGCTAACATCTAATTGCTGCTGACGTTCCTTGTGCGGGTCATGACCAAAAAATGTGACGGCTCCTGCTTCTTGTTTGTTCAAACGTGGCAGGTTTCGACCAATAATTTCATGACAAAGGGCCGTGCCAAACACCATGTACAAGAAGGCGTGCCCAATGATCCAGTACCTACCACAGAAGGCTGCAAGGCAAACCCGTATGGAGCTCATTAGAAATACTGTGTAGCCTGCACTCCAGTTATTCGCACTCTTGCCGCGATGCAACATGTACATACAAATATCCACTAGTATTAGCGTTGAAGAAATTCCTACTGCTTGACTCCCATATTCGGTCCAAACACTGGCCACAATGCAGTAGACAAAAAGGCTGGTCATTGCAGTCAGATACCATTTTCGATTCATGCGTTTTCTTGTGGATGGCGGTATAACAAAAGCACTTTTGGCAATGTCTGCACATTCTAGACCTGGTAATGATTGTTCAACAGTGTAAAGATCGCCTAAGATGGCAGCAAAAGCAGACTCATGTCGCTTTCGACTCACCGCCGTTGCTTCTCGCTGTTCTTCAGCTTGAATATTCCCTTTAGCATTAGCAAGTTTCAGTCCAAGTGATCCCAAGTTTTTATACTTGGTTTTCAACGATGTAACTTTCTTAGATGCACTTACGACAGCGATGACTTGTTTCAAAGATTTTGAAAGCTTTGAATCATTTGTAAAGGCGAGCCAGATAATGAATATCATGTTAAGTGCAAGAAAAATGGACGAGAGCGCAAAGAAGTCTAGGTGGTCACCTCCGGTGTTTACCTTTGGATCTGCAAAGATGGCTGAAAAGAGAAAAACGAACGCCCCAAAAAATGCTATAGTAAAGAGATACAACGTTTGCTTTGTCATTCGCCAGCCCGTATGCATCCACACAGCAGCAGCATAGATTCCTCCCAATGCCCCGATACCGAGAAAAATAATACCAAAGCCAAATACCGGCGGTGTCACTAGTACGACGGACGTCACACCCCACGACAATAGCATCAAAACAGGCGAAGCTATGATAATATTTACTGCCCAGGTGGCGTAGTACAAGTTGCGTCGAAATTGGGTATTATTTTCATCATCCTTGTAGCAAAGAAAAAGCTGGGCCACAATGTCGGGCTTCGTCACTTTTATCGATGACTCAAGTGTCCGTTTAGTTTCCTTTGTGTTGTCTATAACATCAGCCTTCGCTCCGTTTTCTTTGACTATCGCAGGGAGCTGTACATTACTGGCTACTTTTGCGGTCAGATAAGAATGAATTCGCTCAATGCGCCAATGCATACGCTGCAAATAACGCACTACTAGAAGAATCAAGAAGGCAAACGTCAGACAATACTGCGCCGTAATTTTTAAAAAAATTGTTCGTGAAAACGTCTTCGAATAAACAGCAGGAATGCGATCAAACGATTGATGTGGAACAGCGACGATAAAGTACATGCTCAACGATGCATCCGTGAAATTCAGAGCTATGTTGGCTCCAGTAATAATTCCGTCTCCATCAGCGTCTCCGTACTTGTTAATCGAATGGGGTGTAAAATTCTTAGTAAAAGCCTTGAAATCACCAGCCACGTCCATCAATTGCGCGTATTCACGAGTGTCGGCCCATCCAAAGGAGGAGCTCAACCATTCAGGCGAAGATGCCGCATCATCCACACGCCGGAACACGTAAAGTTGAGCTGCAAAATTTAGCGTCACACGTGCGTGTGGTGCAAAGCCGTATTTACCAACTAGTGATGCGTTGCCTTTATTATTACTTAACGTACTTAGTGAACGGATCAGTAGTCCGCCACGCGAATCAACCATTCGATAATAGCTCAACAATCGTGTATTTGAGCTCGCATATACTCGTCCATAAAGCCAAGAGTCTTCATCAGGATAAAAACCGCCCATTCCCCCATCCACCAAGGCATTTGATACAAAAACTTCCTCTGTTCTCATCTGAAACGGGATGACAGTCATACGGATACGCATGCACGGCGTTGGTGATTCAGCATTGCTGCAATTTCCATTCTCAGTCAAAGGAATCCAGAGCTCTTCGACACACATCGGTTGCTCCGGCATTGACCAACTCGAAGAATCATTAAACGGAACCTTCTGTTTAAGTGCCGAAAACGCGGAACAGTAGATAGTGTTGAGTATTATTTGAGCTACTAGATCATCGTCGAATTCAAAGCCGCTGTCTTTGTCCCAAACACGAATTATGATTTCTGTTCCAGCTGTTCGAAAACCAAAATTCAGGTCCCGAGCGAGGTCACCTTTCCCAGTACATCCAGGCTCTTTACATGGCGGCCACTGTGGATTTAGCGAATTCCACACAACATCTGATGTGCGAACACTATCGCCGATAATCGCCTCAACGTACGGGTCGGTCTCTAAACCTGCTCGTCCAAAGCTATCGAGATCAGGTAAATTGCGCATTTCCACAATCGTCAAGGTAAGATTACCGCCAGCAGAAGCATACTGTCCATTGTCAGGACAGTTAAGAGCTCCTCCTGCGCACGAAAATGCAGTCAAGTTTCGAGTCGTCGAATACCGAGGATCAGGGTATCCTAACGAATCTGGAATTTGAGCTGTCACATTTAAGCTCCACGGATACAGTAGAAAGGCGGCAACGATGCTCACAACACGCTTCGCGTCGGGTATTTGAAAATTTTGCCGCTTCATTCAATGTTTTGCCAGCGCAAGGATGGCATCGATGCAAATGCTTATGGAGTGGGAGGGTCGGTTCGTTAGACTCACTAATCACTGTAACGGGCGTAGAAAAAAATAGAATTTTATAGTTGCTAGCTAAAAAATAATTTAGTCGATGTCAAGTAAAATTTTCGAATCTGTTGCCGAAAATTCAAATCCTGACAACACTTTGCAGAATCATTTACGCCGTGATTGAAAATATGATTCATTGGCCGCGCTATGGCAGACTTCTATAATTGAACTTACGTTCAAAGAGCAGAGCGTACGCTTGAAAGTCGCTCCGAGCGCATTTGTTGTCTCCGTTAATCACCACTCCCTAGAAGGCATGCCTGTGCCAAAAGTAGTAACCGTTTCACCATGTGGATCTTACCCCTGGTCCACGGCTGACAAGGATGCGAAAAGCTTTTGACTCAGCACGCACAATACGGAAAAGGCACGTCACCTCGCACAGCGGTAAAGGCCAGCTTATGTGAAGCAACGTTAGACGAGAGAGCCATTTTATGCAAAACCTTGTGAAGTACGAAAAACGACGCAGACGTTGGGGTGGACGCTTACCATCCTCACTTTTTGCTATGAACAGCCCTACTCATTGTTGAATGAGCATGCTAGTACAGCTACCGGCAACTTTTAGTGCATGAAACAAGACCGGGCCCGCTTGCTGATGAGAAGCGGGTTGCAATGCGTAGCCCTGTCAGTTCTCCTGGGGAGTGAGGACATCAGGTCATGCGTGGCAACGACACCAGGGCAAAAATACCAAATGGGTACCAAGTTCTCCAATGAGTTTTGGAGTGTATCCCTTTTCTTTTATCAAATACTGCTTTCAGCTCTCGTGACAATACAGCCCATACATGGAGCGGGCCACTTGTTGATAATCGAACAGAACCGACAAGAGATGATTGTTCCTTGGCTAGCTCCAGCGTGATTGCTTGGTAATGGCAGCACTCCGACTTGCTTTGATAATCTTAGTGCGCGGCCAATACTTGACGTAAGTCATCCTTCGGATGTGACACTGAGCTGCGTCACACTTGGGAATATTCACAAATTTCAGATTACTGGCATAAATGAATTTAGCGGATCCCAAAAGGAAAGACCCGTAAACAGTTGGGCTGCTAGCCACACGTCAGAATATATAAACGCTTTCATGATAACTTTTTGTACAATGTATATTTAGCTGCAGTCTAAATAGCAATATTTCTAAGCATATGTACTCTTGAATACTAGAGCAAACTAACAGAGCTGATTTCCGGAGGCTATTGGATCCACCCCTTGAAGGAACGCACGAGCACAACCTCAGTGCGTTTGCTAACGCGGACTCTGGCCGTCAAAGGTTCCTCAATGAAAATTGAACGACAATCCCGTTGCATCTGGTAGTACTTGTAGTCAATTTTACGACCGGGTCGTGAAAGGATTGTACTTTTTGCGATGTTAAAAGTATTCGAACACCTGTCTCCGGGATAAATACACGAGCTCATCATACTATAGTCTGTTTTGGGTCCCGATGAGATCGAGACTGGCAGTCAAAAGGTCGAGATCGGTAATCACTTGCCTGAAGACGCTCGCCAGCTTTGAAAATGCGCATGTAAGGCACGTCTAGGAATTTTTCAATTGGGCGCTTATAGAGACCAGAAGGATTCATCCGTGAGACCGCTGATTTTGAGCATTCTTACCATTGATGGCCGGGGCGTAGAGAATCTGTCCCTCCGGCTCGAAATGTAGGGATGATCATAGATTTGGCTTTGTTTGAATTGTGGCATGTGCGCTTCGTGCGCATGAACGGGTGATTACAAGCGTTTTCAATTTGGGACGATTAGATGTCACAGATAATCGCACCACCTAATCAGACGTACCGAATGCGCTCGAAATTCTTGTCTACCCGTCGAGTGAGGCGAGGACCGGCAGACTGTGTCCAGAAGTCGAAATATCTATTTATCATGATGGACCCTTTCCATACTGACGACTCTAACAGCTGCCATTTGTATGGACTGTCCTTCGAGCGAAAAGGTTCGTATCGTGGCCTTACGTGCCCACCTTACCGGTCCCGAGGAAACACTTTCAAGGTGAAGTATTACTTCCGTGTCACGAAGGCAAGATGGATTGCTAGGAATGGAAAATCTACGAGCGCGCTAGAAGTGATAGACCACAACCATTGCTGAAGATCTTCGCGGCACGCACTGTGCAGTCTACTGAGACTTGATGTGACAGAAAGGCGAATGGTAGGCGGGGTATTGTAAATGCCTACAATAATATATATGCGGCCGCAGTTTGGACGCAAAGCCGATTCTGAAAAAGGTGTGCTGCTGAACAGCATGTTCGGCTGCACTTTTTCCAGCACCCTCGAGTTGGCTGATGCTTATTATCAATTGTCGATGAGAGACAGCGATATACTTATGTTGATCGTCGTCGCTATAGTTTTCTTTGCTGTCATATCAATTGAATATGGAAGACAAGTCAGACAGCGATACGATGTCAGAGGCCTAGTCTGTCGATGTGCTTTCACTTTTTTATTCTTCTTCGGCGTGTTTGCTCTGTACACACACAGTGAGCGTTGCTATTATCGCCACCATCGTTACTTCAAACGAACACTTATGTGAGTAAGAGCAACACATCCCCAAAAGCATACTCACATGGCATCTCGCCGGGCTACCATTCCCACAGAAATTGCAGTCTGCCAAATTTTAATCTCCATGATGATAGCTTCGTAAACGAGCTTTTCGCTTAAAGTGGGATCTCCAAATAGAAATTACGCTTATCCTTGGGTAGCTAAGACGGTTGACGTTTCTTACACTTTAATCTGGGTAATCAGGACGATACCTACGTGCCATACCTGGGTAGCTAATTGTCAACTAACACTACCTATGATTCCGTGACCGAAGAAGAAGAGCGGCAAAGCTATGTAGTTTTGGCAAAGCCAGCGTAACCTTTACGAGTTACCAAGAGCTGTCTTTGCGATCTTGGAAAAAAATATGAGTATATGTTATGTATTCCAACTGGTTATAACTTGTCGCAGAAGCTCTTTATCTAGAGATGCATGTACAGTCATGACCTAAGCCAAACATTGTTGTCTCTATTTCATAGGCCTTCTCTTCGTCTGATCGTAAAGACTCGTGCAACTTTCAATTAAACTCACATATAAGCCATAGTTTTCTCGTCACATGAAAGTCCACAAGCGATGGTAAACAAAAACTTATACAAGTTTATTTACTTGTCTGTTCATACCAAAAGAAGCAGGTCTACGCACGTAGATCTGATATATGCAGCTTCTAACGGCACAATAGTGGTGGTGTTTACCCTACCCTTCTTTTGGTGTCCGTACTTGGACCAGTGGTCCAAGTAAAGGCTTGCAATTCCCCTTCTTTGGCACAGATTACCATTGGCGATCGAAGGCTGTTATTTTGCTAGTATGTGAAGCTACTTGTTTCGCTATACTTGAGCAGATGGTCAATGATTCGTGTTCTTTGAAAGTTATTCCTGTCTTTGTAAATTCAAGTGTACAGAGACCTGAATTTTAGTCACGTCAGACCAAGAAGCAGACAGGCTAGCAGGATACTAATGCGAGGCTGACTCAACACTGGTTCCCATTATTCATGTTTCGACGAATTGTCAACGATTCGTTCTGCTGTGATCTCGCTAAGAAGAAGTGACAAAGTGTCGGCAATCTACATGACATGTATTTTCCACAAAGGAGGCAAAATTCAGAAATAAAAGCAGAGCGACATCAGAGAAGATTCACGGGTAAATTACACACTTAAGATATTCGTCGAGTTAACGTTAGTTTTTTGCATCCCACACTGTCGTCAATTGCTTACTAGGTGTTCCGTGCACTTGTAAGTTTGAGCTTTAAGACGATCAGTCTTTAATTCCTTGACGATCATTGCCGTGTGTTGAAGTCTGTCCATTTGATCAAGTCTTATCAGTCAACACAAGATTTAAAGAGCCGTAGCCGCAACCATCTTTGTGGCATCTCTCCCCCATGGCGTGCGTGGTTCCGGCTGCATGACAGTGGCGCCATCTCTATTGTCCCCCTACTTAGCGTTAAAGACGTGTGCATGGGCTTGACGTAACTGCTGCTAGTGTCCTGTCTATTTAAACGAGACTGGTCATTCGGTCAACAAGGGCATTTGACCATTTCTTGTTTTTCGTAGACACCATCCATTCCAATGGAGCGCACTGCTGACACGTCCCATTTTGTAATGGAACCTATTGACGCTCCGCCTTCCTCTCATGTTTGTACCAGAATTCAAAGCGAGGACTTTGCACAATTCACCAGCTTTGTTGACGCTTATCTTCGAGCTGTAGAAGACACTCACGAGGATCGGGTGTATCACGATCCATTCGCGGAGCCCTTAACGCGGCAGATTGCAGCCCAGTTAACGCCACGCCTTCACAAGTGGCAAAAGAATCATCCCAACCCCGAGAATTATATTGCAATTCGTGGTCGATACCTCGATGAGGCGCTTGCACAGCGTAATCCAAATATTCGTCAAGTTGTGCTACTTGGTGCGGGTCTTGACACACGCGTATTTCGTCTCGAGTCTTTAAACGGGTGTCACGTACTGGAAATCGACAACAGCGCCGAACTTTTCGAGCACAAACGAGCGGTGCTATCAAGATTAAAGCCCAGTCTTATTGTCGATCGTCACAGTTACGTCGTTGCAGATCTTAATGCATTCAATTGGGAAGAAGGTTTGCTTTCAAGTGGTTTTGACCCATATCTTCCAACATTTTGGGCACTAGAAGGAATTATGATGTTCTTGACCCGGGCTAGCAACCTCGCGCTTATCAAGACCATCGATGTTCTGTCAGCTCCCGGCAGCGAGATTTGGGGTGATATGGCGGGTAGTGGTTTATTAGAGGACGGTGGACTTACTCTATTCAAAGACGTGGATGAGCTATGCCGAAAAGAATTGGGCGATCAACTATTTCAATACGCTGAGGATAATGTTTTTGCAGGCGTTTTCAGCGAGCTGCTTTGGAATATGGAAGTGCAAGCAAGCCTCACGGAAAAAGGAAGGCATTTTGGACGCGAATGGATTCCAACACTTACCCAGACAGAAAAAAGGCCTGTGAGCTTTAATTTTGTGTTAGCTAAAAAGCCTTTAGCTGATTAGCGTTTGCAATATTAAAGTTTGAAGAAGCACGTCAATGTATATAATATGAGGCCTATTGTGCAGCGGCAACGGCTGATGCAGTATGTGATAGTGTATCAGTCTTCTAATAGATAGACGATAATGCCACGACACCTTTTGTGTTGATACATTGTACAAAAGCAATTTTATATATTACAATTTTGTTTCTAATATTATAAAACGCACGAAAACAAGAGCAGAGGTAATGAGCGAACAAAATTTATCGAACAGTTTGCCGATTATTATAGAGTGTGGTGATGGGCCACCAGTTTCTTCCATTGTCAATGTGACGTGGAACGTGCTATCTGTCCATGTTTTATGCTCTATTCCGTCAAGTCATAGGCTTAGGTTCTTTACTTCAACCTCCCTAAAAAATATATAGAATTAATTTTTAGATAAAGTGACCATCTATTCGGATATACCATCATATCGTCTTTGATTGGTGTATACATGCAATGACAGTACTGGTCGAAATATGTAGTTATCACTATTTCTCAAATTAGTGCATCATTTTAAGCGAACAACACTAAAGACGCTAGCAATACCAGTCATAACGTTTTAACTTTAAAACAATGACCAGTTGTGGACATCGAGCATGCAGCAACATGCGCTATGGGACAGTAGTTAACAACCCAATGCTTTGTCCTCGGTGAGATCTCAGGATAAACTTTTGAAGCCATGGCATATCATGCGAGTACATATATTTCAAAGAAGTAGTGTAAAGGCACATACATCATACACATGCGCTCTACGTTATGTCGTAATAAATTGTCTTTTTTAGGCTAGCAGTCCATGTGTGCCAGAGACATACCTGGGAAGTCCCAACGTCATCATAAAACCAATGTTTTTGGTACTCTGAACAATTTCCCATTTGAATTTCGTACACTTGTTCAAAACTGTAAATTACACATTTGTAAAGTGAGCGTGCGCAATAGTGAAATATACTTACCCAGTATATTTCATGCCCACTTTAACGCAGTGCGGTTGTTGCAAATCATGCGCGAAGTTTGCTCAAAAACTTCACACACTAAACGTGCCAGAATAGCAAGATCTAACGAACGGGGTTTAATGACGCTACATCCTTTTTTCTATTAAAACACTCATGTATCGCTTGATCCTTTCGCCTACTTTCTTGCGTTTTCTCGACCTCTTCATTGTTCCATAAGTGTCTCAGCTCCTCCAAAACTTGCTCACATCTGATGGTGACCCCCTTGTGTGTAATATCCATCCGGCCTTTCGAAGTTCCAGCATCCTGCCCTTTCTACAAGGGTAAATATGAAGTACTTTATCGTGCTAGTAGTGTTTTTGGAATAGATTCACTCGTAGCTACACTTTGCGGGTAGTGATAGGCGGTAGGACCTTCTAGAAGACCCCAAATCTTGCGAAATTTACGCCGCTACATACTCTTGGTGTGCTCGATCTCCGCAACAAAATAGTCTGTGCGAGAATACGGTATCTCCAGGTTAGTATCGTCCAAATAAATTCCTACGCTTCTTACGGCAAATTTCTTTGGCTTAACGCAAAAATTAAGATATACTGACGCGTCACATTTTGGCAAACTCTGTATGCGAGCGGTTAGTCTGATTTCCTTTAGTGCAACTCCTTAAACTCCATAAGCTAGTATAGATAGCTGGCTTGTTGTGAGCTGGCTTTGCTCTGCTCTACGCGCCTGGCAACGGCAGGGATGCCTCGTCTTTTCGGTGCACGATTGCCAAATTGATCGCATTTGGGCTTCATTTACTGGTTTTCCGGGATGTGTGAATAAAGTGCTTATTGACCCGGCTCCATTGTAGCAGTCATACTGCTTGTGCACGGGTTGGAATTGCGGACTCAGCCCTGTTGGAAACAAGTTAAGTCTTCATCTAAGTAAACCAGGAGGAGTTATGAAACTCCCAACCTTTTGCATAATTACATAGCTACAAGCAGAATACGTTCACTTGGAAACTTACCTTCAAACCACCAGGTCCTTCCTTCTATCTGTCATTTACAGCACTTTGCGCAGAAGTAGTGTATCGGGCCACCGATTTAGTTCAACAAGTCCGTGTTCCCAAAAGCCGCTCAATGATCGTATCCTCCTGTTAAGGCCAAGAGCGTACACACGCCACGATTTTTTATTGCTACTTCATGTACGTATCAAAAACGCACTACCTGAAATCCGCGTCAAAGCATCTTGCTTCTAGTTTCTTAAAGCCTGTAAATACACTTTGATATTTCAAAAATCGTGGATTTGCACGCAGGAAAGCCGCCCTGCTGGCAGCATCCAGCTGATGCCTCTGTGTCTCGTCGAGGTGTTTGGCAGTGATTACACCTCCCCCGGAAGTCAAGAGTTGGGGGAACGGGCACGTCGCGCCGCTGGAAAACCTCGCCCTTGTGTGCTGTGGCTTGAGGTGCTTGTATGTAACCTGCACGCCGATCGGTACATGCACTAATATGCCAAGATGCTCTCCCCGTCAGTACTTACATAGACATTCGGATACCACCAAGTTTTTTATTGTCCCCCTTGTGGCTGAACGTCCAAAGACCAAATTTATCGTCGACATGTCGATCACTGCGGTGCGGAAGCAAATAGTTGACATCGGAGGGTTGTTTGTTACCACATGCAGTGAGTCCAGCCTCGAGCCTCTTCCACCGTCCGTGGCAGCTGTCTATGTTTAAGCACCCATTTACTGCAGAGGCTGCTCACATGATCATTTAGTTGTACTCGGCACCCGTTTCTCTCTACTATAGCCTTGAACTGCGAATGTTTAAGCATATGCGGCTTCTGTGCGAAAAGTGGCCACATCATCAGTCGTGGTCTCTGTGGAGATAATCGGTCGCGTGGCTTCTCTACGTGTTGCATACAGGGCATACATACATCACTTGTCGATTTCATATCATTCTTGATCTAGTCCATGTCGTAGAGCTTCAGCAAGCGATCTGTACATCATCTTAGAAATCATGAGTACAATTTTCTGTCCCTCAGCTGATCTGTAGCTGCTTGTTTTTGATTTTGGGGATCTCTGAAAAATCTCTATGTGCTGGGCCACAATGACGACGTTGATTTTTTGCGAGTATCAATCGTCTACCACTTTCTTTTGTCATTCTGTAGTTAATCGTGAGCTGGAGCATCTTATAGTATTGCGATTCACCATGCTCTCGAGCCAATAACCAATTTCCCGCAAGCCCAATGCTTGCTCTGTCAGCACTTTAACTGTCCATGTACGGCTTAAGTTCGTGTTGGAGGGATTGCTGTTCACGCTAAAGCGAATACTAGACCGAGTCACTTATTTGGAGAGAGAAGGATCGCAAACAAATACTGTCAAACGTGGTATAGAATTGGGTTGCAGTACCTTGCCGCGAAAAAGATTTTCTGTTCTGGTTGCGTTTACCAACACACAGACGATGGAACCGCTTGCTCTTTCCAGGAACGAGTCGAGATCCCTCATGAATAATTTGGCGATCTATCTTTTCTTACTAACTCTCACGAAAACCTGTAGTTTTTTAGATTAAGATAGATAAGGGAGCCCCACAATCTGCTACAGCTGTCAATATTAAATCTTTGTGTCCTCATAGCGTGATGCTAACAGCACAGGTGTCCTAAAGCCTTATTCTCAAAACTGACCATACCATACCAGTGCTAATCATTATACTTCATATTGTTTCATGTGCGCTTTACAGTCCCGAATCACATCCAGAGCATACCACCAAGGTTTTATCAAGCTTTTAATATTAATTAACTAGTTCGAACCAATGAACGAGTTGTAATCAGTCATGGTGTTCTACAGCATGACCTCTTTAGTAACCCAGATTGCAGCGAAATGATATCTAATTAAGCTTATTATAAGCATGTATAGTTTGCCACTTGCCGCCAGCCTTTTTCAAACACAATATCAAAGTCAAATGGAGATTACTCTCTTACAAATTGCATATTGTACTTCACGCCCAAATAATGTCACACTACTAGGCCAGACAAAAGTTCCCAATGAGCTTGAAAATTATCCTTCAATTATATCTACAGTTCTTCATAGGACAAGAAAGTTACCAAGGTAGTAGATTTAAACCAAAGAAGGAGCTGCGCTCATCACCCGTGATGAATAAGTCCCTCAATTAAGGCACTACGCGTAAGGAGTGGGACGGCTATCCCTAAGGATTCTTTATCTTTGATAAAGAGAGACCACGACGTGAGTACGTAACGAGAGACCGTCATGAGTGTCTAATCTGGGTCGAGAATTGCGGCATGAATTTGACTCGGTTTCCGAAACTGAACATTGCGTAATGCGTAAACGGTTCTCATTTTAGTGTAGGCCTTCTCCGTCGCTTGATGAACATATTTTTTTCTCACCGCAAACCTGGGAAGCTTGACTGCTACACAGTAACTGCGCGCCACGCGGGAGAACTGTTTCAGCTATACAGCTACATCGCGACAACATGGGCCATCCTTCATTATCGTTCTCGTACTTGCGACTTGCAGTCGCATATCTTTACCGACTTATGCTCGGGAGATCGCGGCATTATGCTGCTCTGACACGTTTCTATGGGCTCTCGTAGTAAAGATAGCAACACTTGACCTCAGTTAAAAGTGTCATCAAAGCTTATATGTGGTGGCTTAAATCCAAATGTCACACCAAAGATACACTGTAGGGATCGCAACATGCCGTCACTACTATCATTAGAGACCGGTGATCACCGCCACATCTACCTTTAAAGGCTTGCCCAAGGAGCGTATCCGAATCACTGTACATTTATTTGAGTAATTCCATGCCTTCCACCGAAGTGTCACAGCTTTATGTCCGCCCCTAAAGCGCTTTTGATTCATGGTGTTGGTGGAGTCATGACTCACCAGATAATCTACTAGATAAGAAGTGAGTGACATCTAACGTTCTGACTTCAAGTCAATCCATGGTTCTAGCCACGCCAAATTGATGGATATGTATCAATTGGACCAGACAGCGCTCAGCGCTACTGGACTTGGGTTTCTTAATACTTCTGCTATCAGCGACATCCTCACACTTTACTGTACACTCCTAGAAACCCTTCGACAATCTTCCAGTTCTTTCATCACAAGATGCATGAATATTGTATTCGCATCTGGTGTCGTCAAATCCCCCCGCGTACTGTTTCTAAAGTACATATCTGGATAAAGATTTAAATCCATCATGACTTTCTTCGGCGCCACAACGTCCGGCTAGTGACGTGAAAATTTGGGCTGCAAGCCACACTTATCGTAAAGCGTGACTTGGGTAACATTGTCTTCGATTTTTACAAGGTACAATGAAGCACATCAAATTTGACTAGTCGGCACAGGGCGGCCTTTAGGATTCGAAGCCAAGACTTTCAGACCGCTCAACTCGACATAAGGGTGCACGCAAGGCATTAGTGTTCTGGAGTGGTATTTGCAAGTAACACGGTCCTGCTCAGTAACTAAGCGATCACTGTCTCCCGCCTAAACTTGACTGAGGTTCATCGCGTCTGGCTTGCTTATAACGTCATTTCTTCATGCACTCGTATAAGCCCTCGTGGCACGGAAGGTGTAACGGGGTTACACGGACCCTGGTAAAAGGTGTGTGTGATACACAAGATGGACATGGTGTGACTGCACCCAAATAATAATACGGTACGTGGCTGGGTAGCTGATAGTTATGCATGTATTTTGATTTTACTATATATATTTAGGAAAATCTATACATTTAAAATCAGGCGGCTTTGCCGCAGATAAAACAAATAAATTCATTTTACATTTTAAGCAGAAGAGTTTATTAGCCTTGAGTTAAGGTTCTAACTACTCTTAGAGGTAGCGGATTGCGATCCGCTACACTCGTACTGGTTCTTGTAAAGAACGTAAGGTCGGTGACCTAATTTACGCTTCCTCTAAGCGCAAAGCTACTGCAGCCCGCTGCAGAAGGTATGCTCTGCATTAAATACAATGCTCACTGATTCCTCGAAAAAGATAGGGTGAACGCGGCAGGCTTCGATGCTATCCGCACCTTAATGTTGACCCTCCAAGCAAAATGGCTTTTATCTCCGAAAGAGGGTGGGCTGCCATTTCGCAGACACAAAAATCGATTGCACACTATTTGTCTTGTTACGCAGTGTAAACATCAAGATATTTGTCGTTCCAAAACTTCCCATGACGTGAATGTTTTATGACTGAGAAAACAAGCCACTATTGTGAGTGGTATCCTAGCGAGTAGACCGCTGGCTCTATTCATCCGAGCTAAAGGCACAGCCAACTCAGCTCCATTCGTTTCCTGTTCTTTTCCTCGTCCACATAATTCTAGATGCTTACGTTTGATAAAAGTGGATTCATTGCGGAAGGCGATTGTGCTCACGTCCAAAGATGTCTCACCGTAGCTATTGAACGAGCAATTACCGCTTTTCGCTCTTGGGCTCTCTCATCACGGGAACAACTAAATAAGTGTGCTTTGTGGTCACGAGGGTAGAGAGACAAATGCTTACAGCCGGTGTAGTGTCGTCAGAGTCAAGAGTAGTGATCGAAATGTAATGGGCTTTTTTTCGCACCAAACACAGACGAATATATGATGTCTCTGAACCAGTCAAAAACGCTGACCACTTGAGCGTACGATTCTGACGCATGATCGCTCTTCATTTAACCAAAAAGCTGAATTTTAAGTCTCCGTAGAGTTTAAAGCTGTCATGCTTTCGAAATGCAGCTTTCGATAGCATTTGTTCGGAATTCGCATTACTAGCTGAACGTCTAGATCCATTCGGCCTGCGCAATCTTACGCTCGACCGCGTATATCACGCGCGTAGAAGGCGCCTCTCTGTAGCCTTTGCAGGTATGGTTGCGCCGTATCTCGTCCTAATTCATGCTACCTCATGCCGTCGCGAGCTGGTCTAGTCCTCGGATGCACCAGTGAGCATTCGAGCGCCATGATCTGTAGCCGTGTGCCACCGCCCCGGCGACGCAGAGCGAACATATCCGACCAGATATCAACCAACGTTGTGAAGTCAAAGACGCTTTTCCAAGCAATACCGACATTTGATTTTAGAAGAGTAAGGTTACTCCCGCAATTCAAGCTTTAAGGTTGATGAGGTTGCAAGTATCTGGGCGCTGATGTCGTCTCCCCTATTGTGCTGCGTCTCTCCACCTACCACCACTGAAGGCACAGCTCATTGTAGTCCATGTCGAAGTCAACCGGGGTTGGCACAATCATCTCATCGTCAATTGGGCTCAGAACTTGTGTGGTATATATATAACTGTCCAATACAAATCGTGATATAAACACACACCCTAAGTGAAATTGCACAAACCGTCATGTGTCTTTACTGCTTCTGCCTGTAGATGCAAACGTATCGGCATAATCGCTGTCTCTAACAGTGCTTTTTAATCACTACATAGGGACAGGTAGAGTGGACGATAACACGTAGACAATAAGTTTTGTCCGCTATTGGAACTAATAACGCAGATGATTGCAGCTCATGAACGCAGCCGTTTCGATCCCTGATGGTAATACTGTGTATTGTTATTACACGTTACCCGGAAAGAAGTGAATGACATTTCTAGGTTATTCATATCGCAGAAATTTAAAACACAATCACGATCTAGATGTCGAGTATTTTGGTGCATTGGAACCAAATCGATGACAATTACTCCTCAGTTTCAACTCTCACTCAAACCAGGTGTAGCTTGAAAGTTGAAACTGAGGAGTAGCTGTAAAGTCCAACAGTCTTTTCTGAATATTTACTTCCAAGTGTCATGTACTGAATCGTCAGTATGGATATGTTTGTCACATCAATAGTGTCAAACATTGATCTCATAGCGTCAATACTTCTGACATTATGTGCAGCAATTTGGAGACCACTGACGATGGACATGAATAGTACTATTGATAACATATTGTTCTAACGCTGTCAGGCAGTACATTAGTATAATTATAGTGACTTGAACAAAAATAAAGATCGCTCAGTGTTTGTGTTTAAGTCAGTGTTGAACTCATTTTGACATTGTGACGATCACCCGGGAACCCCTCGACAACCGTTCTATTCTTTGTTGCTCAAGTTCTCAAGAATTTTCAATCTTTCATTACTCCCGCATTTGGAATAGTCAGAAAACTCGAACATGTGATAGAGCAATGAAAACGTTTCAATAAGTGACGATAAACATCAAAGACTTGCTACACCCGTTCATTGACTGCATTACAAATGAAGATAGTTTAGATATTAAACATCTTACGTACCTGTTCAAAATCTATTGAGTGCTTTACAATAACGTGAGGTCTGAGCATCCTGGGGCGAGCTCATGTGGAGACATGACTGAGTTCGGCTCCGACAGTATATGACGTTCAAATGGCGCGCAGATGCGGTCGACAATCTCTCAAGGCTCTAGATTTGCTCCGTCCGTCCACTCCTCCGACCCAACATTACGGGCACCAGGGTTTGTGTTGATGATGTCGACAGTATGTACATAACCACGAATTCCGACAAATCCTCAGATCAGAGGTCAAATATCCCGGCAAAAGGTATGCACGCAAACCTCTGGCTCTTAGCACTAGCTACCCACAACCTTTCCATGTATTGTCTAATGCGTTTTGGCTGCTTTTCATAAGAAAAAAACAGATCCGGATGCCAGAAATCTCGACTCGTCCACACATTTGACAAAATGTGTATATTCTCGACACCATCCCCACGCACACGCCATTAATGTAGATATTCATTTGATGCTTCTGGTTATTCTCCAGCTCGATCAAGCTAGAAGGCATTGAAATACCGCGTACTACAGCGCTTGCACGTCCATACCTTTATCGACGCAGGTTGGTGTGGTGATGAGATAAGCAGCTGGTAAGGTTTCCCTAATTATCTCTCTGAACTAAATAACTAAAGCAACTGCCACATTCTTCGTCTATGTATTCTGTTCAACTGAAGCCAGAAAATGTTGCAGATATTCTTATGACTGGTGCTGAGCATTGTCATCCACGAGCCTTTTGTTCAATAGGCTATATTTATGCGACTTCGGATACGTACCTGATCCAGAAAGTGCTTGTTTGACGCGTCTTCAGTCTTGTACGATTTCTACAACTAATCGCTTGAGCAGTTTTCGAATATAAAAGGACAAGATAGAGCTTCAACTTTGACTGAAACCCGTCGACTTGCTTTTGAGCGTGATAATCATGTTTCGCATCGGAGCTTTTACGCACACTTAATGGATCGATAGCAGCTACTTTTAGTCGCGTAATTCTGCTTTGAACTCGAAAAAACACGTCGATAATTTGCTTCGAATGAAAAACCCATTTCTGGAAATTTCAAAGATACAACTTTGGTTTGTAATTTTTGATGGTAGATGCTCGTTTTTTTTAACTTTATTCACAAACTTGTCAATGACTCCACACACTCATGTTTCTTTTAAATAGTAAGGAATTTATCTTTCTGCGAACCATTGAAACGTTCAACAGCAAAACATGTTTGCAGCACACAGTAACGGCATGCTGTAAGATATAAAACTTGTTGTATCCAAAATCTAGATCTACAGATTTTAGACTTGAACAGCTTCCTAATATATAGCTAGATTTTATCCCAATTTTTTCTAAGCTTAACTTAAGGGTTTAATCTCTTTATTATGGCACTATTTATTTCGCGCGTAATTCAAAGATCATAGCGCTATGGATGCTCAGCGTGCGCTACTCGACAGCCTCATGGGTATAAACCGAGATGGCGATCGGCCAAATGACGATGCGTGTACAAACTTTCGTCATCCGAAAGTTTGTAAGCTCTACTTATGTGGTTTATGTCCACGCTCGTTGTTCCAAAATACGCGCTTAGACTCAGGTCCTTGTGAGTTCTTACACCTTCCAACGTTGCGCTCTGCGTACGAAGAAGAAAGAACAAAAGAAAGTTTTAGATATGAACGGGATTTGATCAGTGAACTATCCAAGCTGCTTGCAGACGTCGAGAAGAAGATTGCACGTGCTCAAAGGCGATTGACTGAAGATGGCGGGGAAAGTCAGGACAAAAAACAAATTTTGCAGCTTACACAAGACATGCAGGAAGCTGCAGCACAAGCTGAACAAGCAGCAAAAGATGGAGATGCTGATCAGTCTTTGCGTAGTTTAGAAAATGTCGAGCTTTTTAAACAAAAGCGACGCGAGGTGCTTCGACAGAACAATTTGGGCGCCACGAATTTAGTTGATTCTGTTAACCAAAAGCTTCGTGTATGCGATGTTTGTGGTGCGTTTTTAAGCATTTTCGATAGTGAAAAGCGTCTAGCTGATCATTTTGGTGGGAAATTGCACGTTGGGTACGTTCAAATCCGTCGAAAGTTAAAAGAGCTAGTGGAAAAGATGAAAGAAGAGAAAAAGGGGAAAATGGAGCAGAAAAAGACATCACGATCGCGTTCAAGGCGACGGGAGGAGCGACCACGACGTCAACGACAAGACCGAGAAAATAGAGAGCGAACGAAAGAACGAGGCCGTTCCAGAAGTCGAGAACGTCGTCGTAGCCATAATCGCGATCAAGACAATAACCTTAAACGTAGCTCAGTAAGCTCCAGTCGTAGTCGAAGTCGAAATAATGAACGGAAGCGCCATCGAAGCCATCGACATCGACATCGGCGCTAGCAGATTAAAAGAACGGGGAAATTGCAACACACGTAAGTCTAGAAAACCTAATCTTTCAGTCAAAAATCTACACATGCCCGTCCATATTAGACTTATATATACCCCTCAAATACCTTACTTGTGTTCCCTTAGCATTGCCGGAACTCATACTACTATCTTCAATTCTCAAACTCATGATTGCAAGGACAAAATATCATCTACAGACGAGCTGTGTCAAATATGTTCGCTGCAATTCACTCACTTAGGCAGGATTAAGCACTGAACGCAATTTTTGTATCTTGGCTGCTCCCATAATTATCGTCAGAACTCGACATCCCATTGCCATTGCGTGCTGCCTCTTTTCGTAATTTAATTTCTAATATCCCTTCCATCACTTTGAGTTGCTTCTCTTGGAGCTCAATCATACGTTCAAAGGCGCTGCCATGCTGCACACGCAAGTCCGTCAACACTGTCGTAACTGTTCCAAGTGCTTTTCGAATATCTGATGTCTCTTTACTACATAATGTAGCAATGTGACTTGATGTTGCATCCGTAAGCCTTTCAATTGCGTTAGCAAGCGAAGCGTCGTGAATAACCACAGTTGGTTTAAAAGCATCTTCACTAGATCCTGAGTCGTCAGGCGTTGTCGAATCTGCTTCTTGTTCTTTGCTATCTACTTGTATTGACGATTTTCTCACATGGTGTGTTTTTCGAAAAGATGTTGCCATCCCAAGACGTGATCCTTCTCCACTTGTCGTACCTGATGAAGTATAGACGTCACGTAGCGTACCCCAATACTCTTTGTAACTAGCACTACTGCGGTCAAAGACATCAGAATGACGCATATTATAAGCATCCGCATGACGCATATTACTTGCATGGTACTCTGCGTTAAGCGAACGAAGCTTCTTCGCTACCCTTTCACTGTTATTACTTCCGAGATCCCCCGTTTCAGTTTTCGTTAAATGTTTTGCGGCTCGTAACTCTCCACCGGCATAAAAAGTCGATTCAACTTGCCGCTTTCGAGGTGTTGCATTTAAAGCACGACTCACGTCGTCGTGCATGTGACGCCATCGTGCTGAGCTGTCAGCATGCTGTTCCATTGCCATAGAATGTTCCGATCTTTTTGAAATACCTTGTGCTATCGACGGGCGATTCAGTATAGCAACTCCATCTCTTACCTCCGATTTGGCTGTATATGATTTGATAGAACCTGTTCGAACGATGCGACGTCTCTGTATTAAAGTGCCGGTCATTGGTATTGTGGTCGCTGGTCGTTTACTATTTTTGATCTTTGCAGTACGGTGCAAAGTGCTAGCATCCGACATGGCTGTAGCTGTAACATAATCCGATGACACACTCGACGATCGTTTAATTGCACTTTCACAAGTTACCAAACGTTCATGTCCTTGTTCTCTATCATTCATTTCTTTCATCTCTTGCTCTTGCCGATGATATTGTTCCTGATCCTGTAGCTGATTCTTTTCCTGTGTCGTCTTCTGTGGCTCTTGTAAAAGTCGCGATGGAGATTTCAAACCTTGAGTCTGTTTACTCTGTTCTTGAAGATGACAAGGTCGAGTCTGCATTTCTGTCGAAGTAGTTAATGTTGATATAGAATGGCTATGTTGTTGAGTCGGAGACTGGATTTGGTTCCGTGTTCCTTGTTTCTCTTGTCCTAATTCCTGCGACTTCTGCGCTTCCTGATCTCTTGATAAATTTTTTCCCTGTAATTGAATCTGTGCTTTGTTCTGTTCCAAACCTTCCTGCTGCTTTTGTATACGATGAGAATTCGTTCGACCTTTGTGTACATCCCATGCACGCGTTCGAAAGTTGGAGTTCATTATCACTGGCTTTGGTTTCTTTCCACCATGAACAGCATAGTGAATGTGACAGATCTTGCACAATACAAAACGACCTTCATCGTCTACACTAAGCACATCTGGATCCGAGAGGATGCTAGGTGGCCACCAATTAGCTTTACGCTTTGGCATCTTTGTGATCAAATGCGAGCAAATTCCAAAAGCGAGTTTCAGACTTTCAATGAGCCAAAGACTTTGCTTGTCTTCTACTTAACTTTCAATGCTTTAGCAATGTGTAGTAAGACAATAGAAGACCGTTGCAATCACTGGTAATGAAGAAGAAAGTGAAGAAGCTCGATGGTGATACTTTTGGAGCTTTGTTCGGCTCTAAATGTCCTGCTTTTTTCCTCCTTCGTGTTGTTGCTTGTGTTCGTTCTGCTATGATCATCTTTCGTTATGTCTAACGATTACTGAACCTTTAAGATTGCATGATTAAAATTATATTGGATGAGAGAATACTAGTTATTAACATCAATAACAATGTAGCAAACGCTGGATACAAAAAAAGCTGTTATCTTTTATATCAGGTTACAAAGGAATTTACGAGTTAAATATCGACTATCACAACTATTTGGTGAAACTATCTAAAGCAGCTGGCGAACGTTGGTCGGTCGTCGTGGCCGGATGGTACGGATATGGCAGTTTCTATACCGAGAGTTTGAAAGATGAATCAGATTCTATTACAGAAACTCGGTGGTCCTCCTGTTCCAACTAGATTTCTTATCTGTTACGGTCAGATTGCTTAATCAATTTTTTGACGGGCGATGAGCACATATCACAAAAGTTCAGCAAGATCACATCCTGTTGTTTCAAAAAAAGTTATAACAAAGGCAAGAATAATTTGGAGGTTTGTGTGAGATGAGATGCACTAGATACGCAGCGTAATGTAATATTCAGATAAAAAATCAGAATTCATGTCCTGATTTTGTAAAGTTAAATAATAATAATTTTATACTGGACAGGGTTACAACCCTGTTTAACAATTTCTCTAATTTCAAATGCACGACTTGGATAATTAAAACGTCGTGAAATGAAATTTTCATACACGGTAAGTTTCCTCGTGTTCTTCGTCTATCTTCTATCGGTCTGTCATCTAAGAATACGTGAGACATCCCTGTTTGTTTTGCTATATAATGCTTCAAACCTTAGACTTCTGCAATTGCTGATTCGAGAGGCTATTTTCAATTGATACACTACAATGGCAGCTTGTGACTTAAAAATTTGGATGGTGAAATTTATGATCATTAGGAAAGGACGACTGCAGCATTGTTCTTGGATGAGGGCACAATGGACGATGTGGTTCTTGGCTCAAGACGTTCATGCGCATATTGCAGTACAATTGGTGGGGATCATCGTCAGATAAAACGTCCTGGAGAAGGCTACAAAAGCTTGAACATGTGACTTGGTCTAACCTTTGACTATTCGGGTGGCACCCTTTAATGCAAATTTTTGCCCATCGCTTTTTCTGAGGAAGCGATGATTACATCCATCGTCAATTGAGTCATTTCTGGACCAAGTTGACATAAATGTCTCTTCCTCTAACACCAAAGATACCATGATTTCCACAGTATCCTGCTCGCAGCGCTTAAGTTGGTTAGAATCGCAAACGCCTTTCGGCACTACTTCCACGATCATATATACTTCCTTTCGATTTGTCATTGTACATTCTAAAAGATATCGCCTTCACATTTCATAAAGATAAGCCAACGAATCCCGCGTATCCAATGCAACACCATTCGCTTCCATGACGGCGAGCTCAGCCGCAATGACACTCACAAACTTTGACAAGCACTTCCTCAATACAAGACGGCCATACACCAAAATGTGTACCACATAGATTTTAGCCTATGATACATCATCGTTGTCTCCATATAATAATCAAAATGGACAAGACGGAGTGTGCGTTATGCAGTCGTAAGCGAGATGTTTTCTCGTGTGCAAACTGCACATCCGCAATGCTACAGCAGCGTCGTACGATGCTAGCTGCACTACAGGCAGACGTATCTGTCTTACGCAAGAAAACTGAATATGCGCTAAATGTGCGTCTCGTCACCCTGACACAGTAGACATTGTCTAACACAAGTAGCTGATGAATAAATTTGCAGACGAAGTATCCGCTAGTGCATGCAGAATTGCGTCTGCACAATCACATGAAGAAAATTGACACTTTGGCCAAGACAGTCATGAAAGTACGCGAAAAGCTTTGCTCTGAGCGGATTGCAGTCATGGAACGGACGTCTAAGTTGGAGGAACGCACTTCACAAATAGCTGAAGCGCACCATAAGCTATTGAAGTCGAGTGAAAGGGCAGAGAATGTTCATGCCCCAGTGTTAGAATGTTTGGACTTTCAAATACAATGGGCGGATGAGGTATTAGTGGTTTGATTGAAATGAAAGAGTAAAATCTTTTCTTGATGATCTTTTGTAGAATGCTGCGAAAGTTCGGGGCGATCGGCTGCGTGCATTATTTGCGCTTTTTGCATTAACACCCGAGAAGGAGAGTGATAGAGACACGAAGGAAGAGTTAGACGATCCATTTTGTGGACTGCCTGACGAACAGGAAGGTGTTTCCAAGAAATTGAAAGCCAGAAAGAATGTAAATGTGTATTTTCGAACGATTTTGGGACTACCATTGCCAAAATCTGGTAAATACGATAATGTTCCACCAGAAGTGGTTGCTGCTGCACTCGGTCAAGTTATTCATTTATTACACTGTCTGATAAAATATTTAAAAATTACTTATCCACATCCTATGGAGTTCAATGGATCGTTTTCTACGATTGGAAGCACAACCGAAGGAGCTGGCTGCCACACACTCTATCCGGATGGCAGTATTGGCTTTGAACGTGGAGTGAGTATGCTGAATGAGAACGTAGCATTTTTGTGTGCTTGCCAAGGTGTGTTGAAAAAGGACGTTCATCAAACTGATTTATTGGGAAACTTGCTACAAGTGTACAAGTCAGCAAGACTTGGAACGCTATGCGATAATCATGACGTGACTGAATCTGCCTCTGATGAAAGGTAAAATTTACAGTAATAGTTTAGTGCGTGGCGCATGTCTGAAACTATTTTGTTGAATACGTTTGATCCCATCAGCACAAAGCGAAGCGATGAAGCGACGTCGGTATTGCTTGGAAGGTCACATATAGTGAGTGAAGGTGTAGAAGTATTGCCTGACTACTCATGAGAATTGAAAGTACAGCGAAATCAGCTGGTGCAAGGCATAAGCAGAATTGATCAGATTGGCTTATATTTTTGTGCATGAACTCGCTGTACGCATGATGAAATCTTAAAAAACTCTTTGAGCAGCAGATTTCTACCGGCGCATGCTGCACTAGCAAGGCGCATTCATGTAAAACCACTGGATAAAGCTCACCTACAAGCAAGCAGGCCGATCGACTTTCTTAAAGCTCCAGCGGATTGGATTCAGAGGGCTACACGCACTATATCTTGTTTACCCGAATGGTGTAATTGGTCCAGTTGCTCCCTGGTCATCCTGACTCAGTTCTAGACACTGATGCTTTAAGGATGACAGCTTCTCGCGAATGAGATCCAAAGCACAAATAACCACTTCCTCGGGCTTTAGCTGGCCCGTTGTCTATGTATGCATGTAAATATCAAGATCAGACACTACCAACTTTCTGTATGACTCACGATTTTGTACACACCTCAACGGAAAAAATGAATTTATCTTCCCGCATCCGAATCGTGACAGCTGAGTCATCTTCTGGATTGTCTTTGAATGAGTCCGCTAGCTTGACGCACTCATCACAATACATGCATCGCATCGCATCTCCAACAGTTAACTGTAAAAGCAAGACCATCAGACTGCATCAGCAACATTTCTGTGATTTTCCAAGTTAATTCGTCTAACCTGCTCATAATTTTCGTCAGTCTCAAACACTTCGGTAGGACAGCTCTTGTAAAGCTCGGCCTTCTGCTCGGGTGTATACGTGCTAAGTACAGCCTGATTCAGCGTAATAATGGGATCGTACATATAAGTAGCAACAGCTACAGGAGACCACTTGGCATGTTCTTTGCCGATACCAAGCTTAGCAATGGCCGAAAGGCGTAATCTTTGTCCAGGTCCAAGCTTAGCAATAATGACTCCACTATCCTGTGTATTATTAAGCTCTTCCTCTGATGAGAAATTGACGGGTCGAATATATGGATCCGAAGACTTGAGTGCTTCACTTGTAACAGACAGTACACCACTATCAGCCATTACGTCAAGTGAAAACTCGACTGAGCAATTAGGACAATTTTCATCACAGTCACAGTCTTGAGAGTATACGAAGCGCTGACGAAAATTCTCAAGTCCGCCATCAAAATTAAGCGGAATCATACCCAAGCGATGGGCCAGAAACTCGTCCGTCATAACTGACGTATTGATTTCAATGCTTACCAAATCAATAGCTAGTGTCGGGACCTCGGAAATCATCACACGACGGATAGCATTAGCTACACTTGCATCTGTTTCTGAAAGCTCAAAGCGGATGAAATCATCGCGCAGCTCCTGGATCTCAATCTTAGGAAAGCGCGGATGCGGCATTATAGGCGTCAAAGCCTTAGTATCACACCAATACTATAATGTAACCCATACAGCTATGACGATTGGCTGTTAGGAGAATGAAATTTTGGCATTTTGACCAAACAATAGCTTTTTATAATTAAAGATACCCAATCACTGGACATAATTTTAATTGGGCGCATATCGTAGCTAATTGTCCGCATAGCCTTTTCAACCCGAACCAAGTGGCCTTCCTGTTCCCCAAGCATAACCACCTGCACCAGGAGCCACGCCGCGTCCAGCTGCACCACGCGCACCAATAATTGGAACTCCACCAGCAGTGACTTGTGGTGATGGAAACAAGTTTGAGCTGCTCAAAAAAGTTTATTGAATACCTGGCTTACACCTTTAATAACAGTCAGAGAGGATACGTACAATAGCGTGGGAGTCTGCAACAGATTCCAGCCCTTAGTTGCCGGCAGCACCTCCAGCAAAAAGTAGTACAGGTGTCCAGCGACAACACCAAATATGTCCATGATTGGATTACCGCCGACGAGCACAGTAAAAGCAATAAGCGCCCAAGGCAGATAAAGACCGTCAAAGCGGAAGCCTGATACAGTTAAAAAGGCATAAATGTTTCCTTGAACTAAGGTATCACACCAGAGAGCAACACACATCTTACCCCAAATGGCAACGGGTGCTGTCGGATTTCGACGGCTCCAAACGTAGACTATCATAAAAATAAGTGATGTGCCCAGAAACGGGATGCTCATGAAAAGTGCAATCACCTGTTCAGCATAATTAGGGAGATGTTTGATGCGTAATGCATTCCTTTATATAATAGATTTACTCACCCATAGTACTACAGCGCCGAAAAAGAGCATAAAGGCATAGTCTGCCGTGGGACCGCCTCCGCTAGGAAACGGATCTTCCTCTAATCGAGACGAATAATTGGTACTGTATCAAGATTTACAATACATTTGATCAGAATTGATGTAATGATACGAGAATAGAGAAATCACGAGCGAAAATTCTTCGTACAGAATCATGAGTTGCATGAGAAAGGGAAAGCTAAAGCCTCCAAGATACATGAAACACGTTGCGAGACGCCAAAGTTGAAAGCGCTGCCACACCAAATCAAGATCCAGGTATAGCGTTTGCGGATTTAAAAAGCCTAGCGCGCTTAGAAGTGTCGAGCCGAAACAGACCGACAGGTAAAACCGCGTGACGTACGGCAGACCATAGTACCACGCCTCGATGCTTCCCGCCATATCGCGTTACTGCTAATTAAAATATCTGTAGTGATGAATATTCGATTATTAATTGGTGTAACCACATCGCACAGAGTTTTATATTGTCAAGACCGACCAAGTGAGCGAGATGCTCCAGCACGCGGTCGCGCTTTTGCTCCAGCGCCTCTTGGGCAAATTTGTGTCATTTGACTCGAACATGCTGAAGTTGAGTCTATGGCAAGGTGATGTGTCGTTTCAAAATCTACAGCTACGCTTATCGTATGGGGAGGGCGCCATTGGCCATTTAAGCGTCAAGATCCCTTGGCGTGCGTTATGGACACAACCGGTGCAAATCAAGGCTCTGGATATCCGCGTATTACTGCATCAGACACCCAAACCAAAGCAACAACCGGAAGCGACAGAGACAGCGAATGTTGATACGAGCGTCGATGACAGCCAAGGAGACGGTAAGTTGATGGATTTCGATCTCCTGGCGCGACTAAATCGTTTTTTATGTCTTGCAGATAGAACGTATCTTTCGCGACTAGTATCACACATTATTGCCAATGTACAGATCGAGCTGACAGACGTACAAGTGCGATACGATTGCGACTCAGGTTCGCTGGCGCCGGTAAGTTGCGATACGAAATGCAATGATATCACAAGTACTAAGTGCAGAATTTGCGCTTCAATGTGATAGCAACCGGGAAGTGGTACGCTTGAGATTGGACAAATGAGCTTGATAAATACGAATGCGAAGTGGGAGCTAGAATACTCGCCGCAGTCAAGTTCAGCGATGGAGTCGAGAAAGGTATGAAATAATAGTGTTTTTGCACAGAATTCTGTTTGTTTTGATCCGATTGTCTGCCAGAGTAGCTGATGAAAGTCGAAGGTGTTGCAGCATATATTGAATATCCAAGTACGCAAGGCAAGGAAGACGATGAGCATATAACGTGCCAGACCAATCGGAAATATCTATTTCATGAATGGCGTAGTATTGTCAAGGTACTCTAACAGTCACTGTCTTACTCATGCTGCAAATCATGCGTTTGCTTTGTTGACAGAATATTTGTTGATTCTAGGCAAGTCTTTATTACCATAGTATCAATGCACTGTTCCCAGACGTCGAGTTGGATATAGACATTGGTTGTGATCCTGGAAGTATCACGAAAACATGCGAGCTCTGTGCTGCACACAGCGCTAGCATTCGTAAACGATTTGATCCCAACGATTGCCAGCCTAGCGTGCATTTTGGACCAGAGCATATTGACGTTTTGTATGCCATTTTAATTGAAGTGAAAGCGCCTTACGACGAATTCGATAGATTAGCTTTAATGACTCAGCAGCAAGCATCACGACCGGATGGTTTTCTGATGGTTTTATCCTACGCAAAACAGTGGCTCTTGACTGATTGTCTAGACGCAGTAGTGGGAACGACTTATACTCTAGCAGCAAATAGTGATGATGATGACGATGCTGACGAGTTTGAAGATGCAATTACTCCGCCGAGTCTGTCCATTCGGACAGAGCTACATCACGGAGCAAAGATGTTCTTTTACACGAAGTCTTCTATTTCTTTCGAAGAACAAGGAGTTTCATGGGTATGGCTTCTCGGACAGACAGTCGGTGTCGTGAAACAATCGTGCGTAGAAGACGAGATTCTGCTCAGGGTTCAGTCACTGCGCATGTACGAATTCTCTGAGCGAACAGAGGGTTACAGCATTTTGGACCACGTAAATGAACATAATGGAGATGGTGACTCTAGTTCATTGGGTTCACCTATCATACGGATATCCTGTGTGATTCCGGCTTATCAGAGCCGTTTTGTTGGTCACCAACCTATATTTGATTTTCAAGTAGGCAGTGTCATGTTACTGATGAAAGACCAGACATTGACGTCGTGGATGACTCTTTTTGCGCCAGTTTATTTGTGGTGGAATAATTGGAATCTATCACACCCAAGGAAATTAACAACGAATATGGACGTACAGATTGCACCTATTACGAACCTCAAAATTCAATTGAAAAGTGTATGCTTCGTATATGCTCTTCACGATCAATTTTGTTTAGGTGTTGAGGTGAAAGATCTACAGGTGGAAACATCTGAGGATGATCGCGAGTTAGTGACAAGTGAATATCAAGCCAAAGCGCGTATGTTCTCACTCAACGAGAGAGTAAATGTGCTCCAACCCGGAATCATTGCAAATGATGTGCATGGCATACACAATATTGTGACTGTTGAGGACCTTTTGCTAACGATAACAAGTCATTCTAGAATGAATTGGTCAACAGATGAATATATTTGTAAGCATTGTACCCTTGATGACCAACACACAATTATTTATGAGCAACCTGACCCTGGAAAAGAGATTGCAATGTATATACACAAAGTACAGCTTCCAGCGATACGATTTAACTGGAAAATGGTTGACCTTGAGGCTCTTTGCTGGATTATTGGTAAGTGGAGCTTCTTTCTACCCGACAAGACTACGAACAGACTCAATCAAGATTTTTTTGCTGCAAAACAGTGCGCGTGCGCAAATCTAGTGTGCAATTGGAAACTATCGTTGGAAACACCAGAATTTCGGTTATGCTTTCTGGATGACCGGCCAAATCAGTCTTCCAGGTTTGAGTTTTTTGTCGAAGACATAAGTTGGGAGTCACGCGTTTGCACAACAATTGTTTCAAATTCGATACGTGCTATGTCAATTTCCTTCCACGAAGGTGAAAATGTCATCTTTCGCGCCACTAGTAGTCCAGGATCTTGCGCCCCTGCTGTTACTGCAACATATCAGACGAGTCGATTTTATTCTTGGGATTCTCTTGCTCCTCGGGGTGTTTTACAATTTAAGCGTCAGACTTCCCAAGTCGTCATCGCAATCGAACGTCTTCATGGGGTGTTATTTCTTCCTGACGTACAAACAGTCCTTAACTGTGTGAGGGAGTGCCACGATAGATATTTGCTGGGCTTTATTTTGTCGACTGGTTTTGGATACAGTCTGGACGAATTGCAACACAATTTGACGAAGCTAAAAGATAAGGCTTTATTGTCAGTATCGAGAATATCTTCATCTTATGACAATGAAGTGACCGTCAGCTTGGCAGTAGCACATGGCGTGCAAGTTGACATAAAGCACCGGGATCAGACACCACTATCTTCTCTTGAAGGCGTGGCACCGGTCATTAAAATTGCTTTTGTCCAGATCTCAAATATCTCATTACAAGTTAGTGGATCAGGTGCTGCTGCTATGCGTGATATGAAATTAAAAGTTAAGGGTTGCGTGCGAGATTTACAGCTGACCGATTTGACCAATCCTAGTGGGCCAATACCCGATGGCTTGACATTGCCAAACCGATTAGCCATTGGATCTCACTCAGATATGTTAGATGGAGTGGCTGATGTGGGTTCATTCGGCGTGAAAAATGTCATCGATTTTGTGATTACCTCATATGACGAAGAAACCGGCGGCATTTTAGTTCGTGTGCGGATGGACTCTGTTTGCCTCGTCTATATGCATCGAGTTTTCAAGCAATTTCAGCATTACCTATTTGACCACGTTCTTATTAGTTTTATTAACCCGCTGAGTGAAATTCCGAGTGGTGAAAAGGCTTTGTCAGTATTTAAAAGTTTTATGTTGAATTCTGCGGCGATTCCTGTTTCAGCAGAAAATCTTCTCAGCATGTATGTTGTTGCAGTAAGCGTTGAATCCAACAGGCGCATTAGCGTCATTGAAAGAGCAAAAGAAGGCATGAGTGATGTGCGATGGGAAATAGTGGGAAATGACATGGCATTTGCTTTGCCACGGAGTTCATTCTCTCGAGACAGCGTTATACTTCGATCGACCAGTGTCCGCTTCTATAGTAGTGGCTCTGATCCATCAACATCTGATTTTCTACTGAATGGCACATTTGTCGACGAATCACGCCTCTCGTCTAGTTCAGCTTTAACTGGTGCATCAATGGCAAAGGCACGTCTTTCAAGACGAAACGAGTTGAGAAACTTAAGGCGACAAATAAAAAATCAACGCTCACGACTATTAAGCAACAGAAGCCAGTTGTATATTGATCTTCGAAGTGCGACGCAGCAAGCGCAAAACTATTTGCATGAAGGTTTTTACGCGTTTCCGGCTGCCGAAGATGCGGTAAAAATTATTCACCATAAGATTCTGCAATCGGACCTGCAGCTGGAGCAGCTTGCACAGCACCTTATCAAGGTGGACGAAGCTCTCAATGAAGTAAAAGCTCAAGGGGATGCACTAAACAGCGGTGGTCGTGACAGTCTACAATTTTTGGCTAACGCTTCGTCAAATAATCTCCGAGGACGATCAGACTCAATGGAGAGAATTTGTCACGACATCGCAGGTATGTCGCAGCATCTCATGACGCCATTATTCGTGGCAGAGGACGCAGAATTTCATGATGCACGAGTCGCATCGAATAGCGACATACCGTCACGGGGTCAGGATTATGCTGACATGTCGACTTCATCGGTAGGGCTTTTCGAGTTTGAGCTTGTTGATTTTAGTGGCACCACCCGCCATTCTAAATCACCGCTCTTTCATCACTCGCTTCTGATTGGGCGCATTGATTTAGAACCCGAGAGCTTATCTGATGGAATTCTGAGCTCATATTTCGGTATCAGTCTTTCACTGAATGAACTTAACGTAGGTATCACACCGGATCAGTACACGACTAGCTTGGGTATCGTCTACGAGAATTTCAAGGAAGTTTCACGTGTTGTTACAGATGATACTTATCCACTTTGCGCCAAATGTGGTGGGCTTCACTATGAGAATGATAACTGCAGCGCGATATGGATGATGATCTCGGTGAAAATCGCGGATGCTGCTCTTCGCATTTCGAATCAGAACCATCCCGTCGCTGACATGTTCTGGGAGCAGCTTGAGTTGGTGTTTAAGTTGCGAACAGATGACTCATTGGAGTTTAGTGGATCAGCAATGTCTTTTACGGCGGTGGATATTCGACCGTCCCACTGTCAGACGGCCTCTGAAATTATTCGTCCACATCCTGGGGTTGGTCCTCAGATTGAGTTTAACCAAAAGATGAGCTGGACGGATTCATTTTACGATTTGAAGATAAGAAACACTAATTTCCTTGGCGTCATTCCGGCTTTCCACGACATCGTAGGTTTTTTCACGAGACCGATTTTCACGACGGGCGAGTTTTTAGAATTTGGCGTGGGATTTATGTCCGAGTCTCCTCCTGTTTGGCAGAAAATTGACTTTTTTGTGATGACTTCCAAGTGTTTGTTTTCGTTATTAGAGGACTTTGAAGCAACAGATGCACGCGCCCTCGTTATGCTAATGGATATAGTGGCGGCGTACTCAACTCATCAGAAATGCCAGGATAAAATGGATCTGACAAAGTGCCATTTGGAGTTTGATCAGCATGGCGTTTACTTCTCTCACCTTCCAGATCTTCAGGTAAGCCGCCTTTGCTAACCATGTATACTAAACTACGATTAAACGCGTGCCTTTGTATGGATCTGATAGATTGATGCGTCCTTCCCGTTGTCAAATGCATTTCTTTTGGTATTCGATCATTTTGTGGAAGGTTTGGTCAGCTTTTCGCGACGGAACTCATTCGTACTGGCTCCTTTGGAAATCCGATTCTCGGTTCAAGATGCTAACTTATTTATTAATATTGCAAACAATTACCTGCGCTTGATTCCGTCATCATCTCAGATGCATTCTTCGGCCATTGATTTAAGAAACAGATCAAGCAGCGTGGTAACCTCTCAGCTTGCCAAGCCAACCTTTGCTGCTGATAAGCTCTTGGGTGATGTTGGAGAATTTCGTCTTGTGCTTGTAAATAACAGTTTGGGCATTCCCATCGCTGATTTCCACATGCGGGAGATAGTGTGCGAGTACATCCAAGATGAAGACTATTCAACGACAATGGGGGCTACACTACTCTTAAATTACTTTAATAATAGTATTTACCGATGGGAACCTCTTGTGGAGCCTTTTGTCGTTCAGATGCGTATACATCGCGCTTTGGAAGAAAACAGCATCGTTGAAGTATTTGCGAATTTACCGAGTACAATTAATTTCAACATGACACCGGCAATGGCTCCTCTTCTTTCGTCAGAAGCTTTGAGACAGGCTGACTTTGTGACTTCTGGATCTAAGTCTACAGCGCCATTCTGGATTGAAAACAAAACAGGAGTTGGACTGAAATTTAGCTTTCGCCGCGGCTCTGGGACAGTAATACAACAAATTGTTCCAGACAAAGAAAAAGTTTCAGTTGATTGTCGCGAGCAAGGAGACATGCTTAGCTTCGACAGCGCCTCAACCGATAGATTTCTGCGAGAAGTGGATCGCCAAGCTCTTACGGTAAACCACACGCTGTCGGTTTGGCTGGACGGCAACAGATGGGTTAGTGCGAATCCTGTGGTGGTTGATATGGTCGGGCATGTAGCTGTTCCGCTTCGTGAATCCATATCACCGGCATCTGATTCAGAAATGAGAGATTTCGTAGCTGGTGGTGAAGAGGACATCGGTCCACCGACTCTGGTCGCGGAGATCAGTATTCAAGCCGATGGAAGCAAGTTAATAAGCCTTCATTCCCAAGTGGTACTGCAAAATCGAACTTCTGTTCCATTAATGGTGTGGGCATTTTCACCTCGAGAAGGCGGCCGCATTCAAGAGTGGATTATTGACCGAGAGGAAGTTTGTCATATTCCTCTCCAACTTGTTCACCCTCAGAGTAAGATCAGCATCCGACCTTCTCCGTACGTGCAATATGCACCGTTAACAACCAGTTTGGAAGAATTAGGGGACGAAGTACGATCAGCTAAAATAGTCAATACAAAGCGCTTTGTGCGCGCTGGAAATTGTGTTTGCAGTTTCGAGACATTTGCTACGATGGAGGAGCTACAAAACGCGGCTCATTCACTGGAATTGGTGTCGTCTTCTTCAATGTCGTCGACAATACCCCTATCTGGATACGTGGTTCGAGACCTTCCTACTTGGAAATGTACATACGAAGTAGAAGCATACTATTTGATGCGAGCCACTTATTCGAGTACTGAAGAGATTGTGCCACCGAAAAAAGCTTCAGCTGATGTAGAAAAAGTGGATGAGGAAGAGAGCGAACAAGTAGAAGATGCTTTTCTACACATGTTCAATGAACCGATTCAACGACAGCAAATGAATCCATTGCGAGACGTCAACTACGAATTGGATGAGGCGAGAGCGGCTGGACAACGGCGAGGATTGTATGAAGCGACTAATTCGAGTTTGTACTACCTCTCCGTCTCACCGTTTCTAACGCTTCATAATCGTTTGGCAACAGCATTGGCTTATCGTCTGCTCAATGGTTCGCTTCAGCTGATTGCTGAAGGTATTTTAGCAGTAGGAAATGTGCTGCCTTTATTCCAAGTCGATACGTCAGATGGGTTGTACCTATCGTTTCGGCTAGAAAATTACAGCTGGAGTGCTCCAAAGATGATAATTAACTCTCAAATTTCTGTCTATACGGTGCCGTATAAGGAGACGATCGAACCTGTACAGTTGCTCGGTCATGTATTTGACCGCGATATCATTGGAGAGCAAGGTAGCGTGCCCAACTTGCAACTACAGGTAAAGCTTTCGGGGCGTGATGTTGTCGTGTTCTGTTCTATCTGGATTGTCAATCACACTGGTCTTGACCTCGAATATTGCAACTCAACGAGTACGTCATCCAAACGACTCGATACAGCTCTCAAATATGTACATCGGCGTGCAGGCTTATCTGACGAATATGGCGAAGATTTTACCTCACGTTCACTGTCGCTGCAACTCGAAAACGGCCGAGAATCTCAGCTCACTCGCCTTCACAAGGTCAAACCATCAGCCAACCCCGTCGCCGTTGTTGTCGTTATTCGTGAAGCAAGAGATCTGTACAATTCCCAGTACTTTGGAGCCCAAAGTCCATATGTTCGAGCATCCTTATATATACTCAAGAATCCAAACGACAGATATTTAGAAAAACCAGAAATGATTGCTGTTTGGTCTACGACAACAAAGCCGTGTCCGTCTGGTGGTACAACTCCTCAGTGGGATACTCACCTTCAAAATACTTTACTGCTGCGCTTTCCACCTGAAGTCAGGACGTTGGACTTGGCTCGAATAATCATCGAGGTGCGCAATGTTCGTTATGGCTTAGATACTTGTCTTGGAGTCACTGCTGTGAAAGTCGACAGCATATTAAAAGATCGCAAACGGGCTGTAGCTTTTAATTGGTACAAGTTGCTCAAGCGCAAGTCATCTCGTGAACGAAAAGTTTCCAAAAACAATCTTGCTAGCATCCACCGGGGAGACATAAGTATTTCTTTCTCGGTTGGTACATCGCAAGAGCTACCTTCAGAACTAGACGAAGCAAACGTAATTGAGGACATTTCTGACATGTCGAGCTCACCTATCATTCTTGATGATGAGGGATTGGCTTCATATCTGGACAGGCAAGATGTTGATGAACTTCATCTTGATGAAGTAGAGAATTTGATGACACTAAATGAAGGCCCGCTTCCTTCTACGAGTGCAGCAAGGTTATTGCAGCGACTCGAAACGCCCTCCGGTCCTGACAGGGGGTTTATTGGCACATCATCAGCCGTACGTGGACGTCATGTAGGCGATGGTGATCCCATACACTCACAAGAAATGTTTTCGTATGATCCAACATCAACGAGGGCTATGGGTGCGTTAATCACAAACGGCTCGCCAGTGAAACTGGCTCATATGGGCAAAGCTCATGGAATTCAGGTATATCTACCTCACAATCGCTTTGTTTCGGTAGTTGTGGAAGTGTATCACAATTTAGTAATGTCAGAAGTATTTGATCTCGTCTGCATGAAATGTGGCTTCATGGGTGTTCTTAACATCGAAGACTTTACCTTTTATGAGCTAGTGCTTCCTCGATTTGTATCACTTCGAAGCGCTGGGCGACCGGAGGGCGAACGTTGGTATGGGCAGCCTATTTCAATGACGTGTAAAATTGAAGATAAGGGGCGGCGCTTTGGCCTACACTTGTGCCATCGAATTACGATGACCACAATTCGTTTGTACGACGAAGCGAGCACGGCAAGCTCTCATCATATTACGCCGCGCTCTCTTGTATCAAGCTCCAAGCGGTCAAATCCGGCTCAAATACGCCCGATGCAGTGGGGAGCCGTATTGCCGTATAGCTCCGGTGGAAAGCATTGGGACGTCTTGCGGATCAAGTCTCGTTCCTCATCGTGGTCTGATGTCATTCGCCTTAATAGAAACGCTATGGGAAATTCAGGCGTTGCTCAAGTCATTAGTCTTACCAACGAGGTTTTCGATCAAAATCAAGAAAGTGAACTTCGAAAAGGTACTCAGGAAGTTGCGCTGTGGAGCTGCTATGGTAGTGGGCGGTTTTCGGAGACTATCATGGCTACGGTAGTTCCTCGCTACATCTTAATTAACAAAACTGAAGAAACCATCAAATATCGGCAGCTCGATGCTCCTCATACTTTTCGATTGGCTTCAAATGAACTCACACCTTTTCATTGGCCAAGTGCTTCAAGAGAAAAGCTTTTGGAAGTAACTTTGCTGCACAAGTACAGCTGGAGTGGTAGCTTTCGAATTAATTCGCTTGGGACAACGTATTTAAAGCTGCGAAATCGAGAGGACCCATCTCGTATTTATATATTGCAATGCCAGATTGAGCTCGTAGGTGGATCTGTGGCATTAATTTTTCGACAGGAGTCAAAGCGTTTTCCTCCGTACAGAATCGACAACATGACATCATTTCGAATATGCTACAAACAGACCAATTGGGGTGAAAATAAAAACTTTGATGAGTTATTGCCGCGTTCATCGTGTCCGTATGCTTGGGATCACCTAAATAGTTCTGATGGTAAATCGTCGTCCACGTCTAATCAAGACCCAGCCTTTCCCGGTAGCTCAAGCTCTTCATCACGTGCACTTCAAGTACGATTTATGCGAGTGACATCATCGACATCGAAGACTGGCGGTGACTCGGACAAAGATGCAGTGGATATACGAGAGTACAATCTAGACGAAATGGTAACACATAAGCGCATACAGCTGCATCGCTCATTACCGTCAGAACTATTTCAAAAGCCAGAGCAGAAAGGATATCTACTAAAAAAGGACAGCATGCTGAAATGGAACCGAAGGTACTTTCGGTTGTTCGAACACATGCTATACTACTTTGCCAATGAAGTGGACCAAGAGTTGCTTGGTGTTATTGATTTACGCACAGGCTCGGACGTACCCGGTGTTGGAGGCGTTGCGATTTTTGAAAAGGCTGCAGGAGCTTCATCGAATAGCGGATTTATATCCTTAAATAGTCTAGTTTCATCAATCTCGGGTAGTCTTTTTGGGGGAAACTCGAGACAACTTGGAATGGATGGAGGAGACGAAAATGACGACGATGAGGATGACCGAGCGAGGGAGCTTGTGCAAATTGCTGTATCGTTAACTGCGTCCAGTGTTTTGAGTGAAGAATCAGAGAATTTTGTGAACGCACACATGAAGGGTGGTACATGCGCAAAAGCTGGCGTCATGCAGAAGGGATTTTATGTAAATGGACATGATCTCGTCAACTTTCTGACCACAGAAATGAGTTTACAGACAAAGGCACAAGCGTTTACAATAGCGCAGGAAATGATTGAGCTTGGTTTATTGAAGGCAATTCAAATATCGTACAGTATAGGGGCGCGCAGACAGGCGCCAGTGAGAGGTTTCCAGTGCTCTAAAGAAGCTTGGTACAGTGTTGAATCGATCAATCTTACAGATGACTCGGACGTAGGCTTAGAAGACAGTTTAAGCATGGTGACACCGCGCGATAGCGATACAGGTATCAACCCAGCAACTGTTGGTTCGAATCAGTTTTCAATTATCACGCCAACAAAATGCTACGACTTGAAGGCAAAGAATCCGAAGATTGCGAAGATCTGGGTGCGAAGACTACGACGTGCGACGCTTGGTGTTCAAGCGTCCGAGATTGGAAAATTTTCTGAGGAAACATCTGTGACCAGAGGAACACTCGTGGCTCCAAAAACAGTCCGCTCCCAAAGAGATCTTGCTTTTCAAATACAAAACGCCAAAACCTATGTCCATGTTCGCATCCGTGCAGATGGACCGACAAAAGTCTTGGAGTTGTTCGAGGGTGGTGAAGAAGATTTCGACGAGAAAGACACAAAGCATGAATTATCAAGCACGACGTCAGATTCTCCTACGACTAGTGAAATGTCCACTAGCACCTTTGAGTCTCTGACATTTGGCATGGTTTTGCATTTGCGCGTGGATGGAATCGGCATTTCGTGCGTGAATGAGCTTCCAATGGAGCTTGTGTACATCTTCTTTGGCGGTATTAGCCTCCACTATTCCCGTCTTAATTCTAACATGCGAATGAATATCACGCTGGATGATCTACAGATTGATAATCAGAGTGAAGAAGCCACATTCACCAAGTTATTGTGCCCTCGAATGAAAAATGAAGTAGTATCTGCAGGCACCCCAACAAGGAGATGGACAGTTGGTGGTGATATCGGTGAAGATCTTGCAGAAATGGTGAGTTGCGATAAAGAAATAGCGAATGGAAAGGGTGATGTCGAATCTCAGGAAAATACGGGTTTGGTTTTAAACCAAAGTATATTTTGTTGTGCGGATTGCAAATACCGTCAACCAAGTGTTGCAGCGATGCATTTCTGTTGCACATGGTCAAACGAACAGGGCAATACTGATTATTTTAAGCATTGCTCCTTCTGGTTGTACCCAGTTATCACTCAGCTGGATGAAGAACTTTTGGTATCAGCTCGAGCATTTATGGCAGCGGTAAGAATCAAAACCATTTTACGATTAGAAAATGCCATTTTTTGACAGCATTTTGCAATGTTTGTGATGTACAGATGACGCAGTCATGGGGTCAAAATCGATCACAAAACCGCGGGGGCGAAATTCGAATGAAAAGCATCCCAATTGAAATGATGATAGAAGCTCTAGCAGAGTACAAGGAAAATGCTTTTAGTGACGAGCTGAATCCGCTAATGAGTCTGAAGTCATACACTACGACGCCTTCATCAGAAACACGAAAAGTGTACTTTGCTTTACTGCACATTCACCCAATGGACTTTGATATCACGTTTCGCAGCGATGTGTTTCAGACGAGCACGACACTAAATCCTCATAGATCAGCTAAGTTCAAAACGTCTGGTAGCCATAAAGAGGCAAAAAAGCGGTCGAATACAATTACGTCCTCAATCGGAGAAGGTAGTGGAGATGACTCATCGTCTGCAACTTGGGTAATTCCAAGTTTAACAATGCACGTGCCCGATCTTGATAATGCTCCCGTGCGCTTAAATGCCTTGATGATTGAACACGCTTTCGGCACGAGTAGTGATTTGACACGCCGTGTCTCAAAATATTATACGCGACAATTATGGAAACAGCTTCACAAAATATTGGGTTCATTTGATTTCCTTGGTAATCCAGTTGGTTTCTTAGACCACATTGGTACAGGTGTACGAGATTTTGTCTATGAACCTCTAGAAGGCTTGAAAATTGGGGGAAAAGGCTTCAGTAAAGGGTTGGCTAAGGGTACAGCGAGTTTAATGTCAAACACAGTGGATGGCACATTTGACGCGGCAAGTAAAATCTCGGGCACCTTTGGCCAAGGATTTGCAAACTTAAGCTTGGATGATCATTACCAACAAAATCGCGCCCGTGCTCGCCGTCGGCACGTCCGCGGTGTCCGTGAAGGACTTGTGCAAGGCTCACGGGAATTAAGTTTGGGTGTGTACGAAGGTGTTGCAGGGTTGGTGCTGAATCCCATGCGAGGCGCTCAAGAAAGTGGTGCAGTGGGTTTTGTTCGAGGTACGATCACTGGAATCATTGGACTCCCTGTAAAACCTGTGGCTGGTATCTTTGACTTTGCATCTCGTGCAACGCAAGGAGTGCGCAATCGGTCCTTACAAAACGGTCAAAGTATGCAGCGAGTTCGGCGACCTCGTGTATTTGGGCGCTACAACGAGCTTAAGTGCTACAAGGAAGCTGATACAATAGCGTATGAATTGCTCAAGCAAGTCGGGGGTAACCGCCTTTCAAGCGAAAAAATAATCTTTTATAACGAAATCATCCAGTCAGTAAATGCAGCCGATCTGACGCGTGAAGCTCGAGATCGACGCCGTAGTGGTGGTTCTGGAACTGGCAAGCAGAAAAGAAACGACTCGACGCGGGAGCGTACAAACTCGCTGCGAAGAGCTTTACAAGGAGACGATGAGCGTCGTCGTGCTGCTGGTGAGACGTCTATAACAGTTGCAGGTGAGAGTAGTGGACGCAAAATGCGCTATGAGGTTGTATTTTATCAAAAGAAGCTGGGAATGGATCTGGAGACGGACTTTTATTGCGAGAATGTGACGATCAAGTCGATGGATAATTCTCGTCGGTCCAAAATAAAAATTCGGGGGCAAATAGCATCTGGACAGCAAGTATTGCAGGAAGGAGACTATTTAATTGGTATTGGTGGAGTTGACGTGCGTGGTATTGGTTTCCACGAGACGCTGGCATTACTGCGTGGCACGTCGCGACCAATCACGGTTCAGTTTGAGAGTGCTGAAGAGTTAATGCAGGAGGTCTTGCAAAAACCGGATGGCTCTGGAAATGACGAGATCGAGTTAAGGGCGACAAGTAAAGCACGTCTCAATCGTCTGTCGCTGGCTGATTCGGGGTCTGTGAACGACAATTTGGAAGATTCAAGCACTAATTTGAAGGTGCACTTAACACACTGGCTGATCGTCACGGAGCAACGCGTGCTATACATCAATGTCGGATCGTTTTCCAAGCCCGTGGTAGAGTGGATGACACCGCTACGCTACATCTACCGCGTTGAGTGGCAGAAGGGTGCAGCGAAAATTTGTCTTCACCTAAGCGTTGGAGTTGACAGCTTGCCAATGGGCCCGCGTTTGCGACCGTCGTTGAAGGCCATTGAAGGCTACGAGCGGGATATGAATGTGTTTTTAGACGTCATGTGGCACAGCTTCGGGGCGGCTACTGCTGAAGAGCAGGAGCTCTGGCCGTCAGACACAAGTTTAAATGGCTATTTGCTTAAAAAAGGTGGTTTCTCAACGGTCCGTCGCTGGTTCGTACTCAGTCGTAATTGCCTGTATTACTTTTCAAGTCGCAAACAGCTTCGCGGCATTATTCCTCTTGGCCATGTGCGCCTTGAGACGGATGCCGGCGACCTGCGTTGTTTACGTATTACAAATGCAGTACGTTCACAGCCGTTAGTTACATTGCAGCTTGACAATGGACAAGTCGTGGAGCGTGTACAAAGTGAAGTGGTTCTTGTAGCCGCGACAACGCAAGAGCTGGAGATGTGGCAGTCGTCGCTAGCGCACGCTGCTGGAAAAGGCATGCGGCATTCTCGTGGTACGCGCTTCTTTGCCCCAACAGCTGCATCACGTCTTGAAATTGGGACTAAAGAAACTCCTGACTTTATCGTATCACCGCTTGCTGCCGCGCTCAAGAAGACGGTCGAAGTGTTCAATACAAAGTTACCTTGACGCGATGACAATATTTAGATCAATTTTGAAAGAAAATAACAATAGGTGATTTTTAACAGCATTTTGTGCCATGTTGGACAAACTGCCAACTAAACGTTTTTTTTGGGTTGGCGTGACCGTCTTCCGTTTATGGAACGCTTTATTCGTCCGTACGTTTTTCAGCCCTGATGAGTATTGGCAGAGCACCGAGGTTGCTCACCGTTTGGTTTTCGGCTATGGTTATCTGTGCGTTTTCTTACAATCCTTGCTAACTTTAATTCACTATCTTAACGTTTTGCTGGCTGTTGTAGCACTTGGGAATGGCAGGACGACGCCCAGCTGCGGGGATTTGCTCATCCAGCATTGTTTGCAGGTCTATATAAGCTTTTAGATCTGTTGGTAAGCTGATGTCTTTGCTGAATATGAAATCTTTGGTACTAAAACAAGTTTGCCGTAGAATTTGGATTCTCGGTGGGCTGTAGCTTATGGTCCACGGTTACTCCAAGGCCTGATATCAGTAGCCAATGACTTTTTCCTTTACAAGCTAGCGAGAAATTACTTTGACGCCAAGACAGCACAGTGGGCTCTATTGTGCCAAATTTTCTCGTGGTTTTCTTTCTATGTGATGGTGCGGCCATTTTCAAACTGCATTGAGACGATGTGTACAACAGCGGCGTTAGCATATTGGCCGTGGAACTTTCTGGTTTGTTAGACGGAAAAGGGGATAGAGCCAAGAAATAATTCGATTGTTTTGTAGGACATAGCGGACAAGAAGAGTGACGACCTAACTGTGAAAAAATGCAGTAATCGGCCGTTAGCGCTGGTATTCGCAGCATTGGGCGTAATTTTCCGACCATCCAATGCCGTCACATGGCTGTACGCTGGCGTTGCGCTCTTAATGCAGACGCGAGATCGAGCTTATCTTGTGTTTTGTACGGTGATACCCATCGCGATAATATCTACGCTAACAATGTTTTGCATTGACCGACTTGGGTATGGCCAATGGACTGTGGTGCCATTAAATTTTATTAGATTCAACGTTCTTGAGGTGGGCAAGTCAAGCGTATCCTTGATTATGTATACCTCTGGATGACAAATCGTTCTGTCGACACTTCAGGGCAAAGATAAACTGTACGGAGAGCATACCTGGAGCTGGTATTTCTTACAAGGCTATCCCACCATTGTGGGTACCACGCTGCCACTTGTTATTGCTGGGTATCTCACTGCTCCGGTTAGTAGTTTAGATGGAATGGTTGGTCTCGTGTTAATTCGCTTTTTTTGAAATGCACGAATAGGCATCGAAAAAACACTTAGGCCGTTTAATCATCTGGACGCTTTTTGTATACAGCAACACTAGTCACAAAGGTAAATGACTGACCATCTTATACCGAAAGATCAGTGAGCTAACTTTCGCTTAGAGTTTCGCTTCATTCTCCCCGTTCTTCCGCCGGCGTTTGTGTATGCTGGATATTACATGCGCAACCTCGAAGAGAAGCTATATACAAGATTTCAGACAAGAACTCAAAAGGGTTTACTTCGACTCTCTTTGTTCTTCGTCATTGTTCCGAACGTGCTTTGTGCCTATTATCTTTCGCGAGTTCATCAGGTGCGTTTAAACAACTTTGACACAATCCTCTGCACTGAACAATGGCTCTTTGTTTCATGTATTGAAGCGTGCTCCCATGGATGTTATGGACTACCTTGCGGATCGCATTCAAGGTACCTACTGAACTTGATGGTAATTTATATATAACTAAGCTCGTTGCGTCACTTTTGATTCGTGTAGAAGACGCGAACGTATCGATCCATTTTTGGACTCCATGCCACGCTACACCGTACTACAGTTACTTGCACAAGAACGTCTCCATGTGGTTTCCGGATTGCTCGCCCATGTAAGAATGCTATTTTTGTCGTGACGCAAGTGAGAGATTGAGATTAACACTTAGCATTATTTGCTATGATAACAGCAATCGCCTGCGAATCGAAGGCTGTGAGTCTCATCAACTTGAGCGCGATCCAAAGCACTTTCTTACTAGCATGTACCATATGTCGGGTGATGTTGCTCGTGACGCTTCGTGGTCGGAGATTCCAACCTTTGTCGTGACTTACACCTCAGTGGCTGCCAAAATTAAAGAACTTCTTGTTGATATGCACCTTGTTGAGGTTCGTCAGTAATAATTGTGTGCTCCATGTTCGAATTATTGACTGGCACTTGCTCTACGCAGGCAGCATCGTTCTTTCATAGCCATGTAAGTGGTGATGCGGATACATCTGAATTCGAGGCAAAGATGTTGGTGTTCAAGCGCGAATAGTGTAGACACAAAGCGCTGGCGAAGTATCGAGACCGTGGAAGGAAGAGTAAGCACGACTTAGCGAAAGTCTTGTGCATTGTATTGTGGCTGAAGATGCTGACGATGGAGCGCTAAAAATGAGGGCAATAGTAAGCTTGAGGTTTTCTGCTGCTTAAACACGAGATTTCAAGGTTGCTGTTGTTGTCGAGGAGACTGGAGTTGATGTGTGTCCGACGGATTAGTGGATGGGCTGGAATTTATTAGTTGGGTTAAACACAAGCTGGCTGGCAGAGCTGCAGGAAGTGGATGGAAACTCGTGGGTTATGTTGTGGTAAAAGCGAACGATGTCGGAGGCTAAGGAAAAATACGCCAATCTAAAGCATTGAGACCAATATGCAGGTAAAGAGGCGAGTGGTTCGTTTAGCGACGTCGTCGGTCGTCGTACGATTCACGGTCGAAGCCTCCACGGCCACGATCACGGTCATCATAGCGACCGCGTCCACGATCGCGGTCATCAAAGCGTCCTCGGTCTCGGTCATCATTTCGACGAGCATAACCACCACGGTCCCGACTGCGACTTCGCCGTCCTCGGTCCCGACTACGGTCCTTACTGAAGCGGTCACGGCCAGCTCCGTACTTCGCGCTTGCTAGTCTCGGTCCAAGGTCTAGAGTCAACGCACAAAACAAGATGTTGAGAAATCAGTGATTAGAAGCGAAATGACAAACGTTTGTCCACGCACACTGTCCAGGCGTCTTCTCGTGTCCACGTTTCCGTTTAGCGTGTTCCACTCGAATTTTCCGTCCGTGAATCTCTTGGCTAACCAAATAGTTAGAGCGCTCTCAACTTAAATGAATCATGAGGTACAATACGCACTTGTTTAACTCCTTGACAGCATCTTCAGCGTCCCGAACATCCTCAAACGTTACAAAGCCAAAACCCCTAATTGTAAACAAAGCCTTATAATTCCCAATTCGTATAATAATACGCTTATTACGTACCTGGATTCTTTTGTCACAGGATCTACAATCACTTCGCACTTTTCTACGCGTCCAAACTTCGAAAATACTTCCTCAAGCTCCTGCTGCCCCAAACGCATCGCCAAGTTCGCTACGTACAAATTATTGCCCGGGTTGTCATTGTCCGCATTAGTGTCGGGTCCTTTAGCGGGCGAACGGCTGCGACAACGGCGTGACTCATTTCGATCTTCAGTGTCCATTGCGCGCGGACTTTTCGTGTTTTCATTGTTGCCAGCTTTAGGGGATGGTGAGCGACTACGGCGAGGCGATGGCGAGTGACGGTCGGACATCGCACAGACGTTCGTTCAACTTGAAATCTTTTGGAATACTTCGAAGGGGCAGCCGAGTGATTTCTAGCTGGTTGCGCTCTTATATAGATAACTATACTGAAAGCCAGTATAATGCCGATTGCGTGCTGGCGCAGAAAACGAACGTATTACGGCTGGATATAATCGATGTTGTCCACGTAAATGACTTGCGGGATTGGCTATTATTGTAAATGGCACGAACAAAGGCGCAAGGACGGAAGGGCAAATCCGCAAGCCGCGACGTGCATGGTGAGAGAAAGAAAGCAGACGTAGAGCGCAAGAAAGTGAAAGATAAAGCTAAGGCAAAGGGCAAGGTCAAACATGCAGCAAAAGTCGCAAAAGAGGAGAAGAAGCGCCAAGCCCGAGGTACTGCCACATTTGATCAAGATGCAGACAACGGCTTTATTGAATTTGCGGTAGACGAAGATAAATCTCAAGACGCTTTACAGAAGAATCTTGAGCCACAGGAAGATAAAAAGCGTGAATTACAACTGACATCGCGGCCGTGGATGAAACAAAGCACGAGATGTGTCAACAGTAATGTATACGAATGTCTTCACGAAGAAATTATGAACTTTGTCGTCTTTGTAAGCCCCACAGAAGAAGAATTAAGGTGTAGATTACAGCTTGTCGACGAAATGCGTGACATCATCAAAGATCTTTGGCCTGAGGCTATTGTCGAAACTTTTGGGTCGCATTACACGCAAATGTTTTTGCCTCAGAGCGACATTGACATGGTACTTCTTGGTGTTCCTGAGGGAAAACAGCCGCTCTACAAATTAGCAGAGCGACTTGAGGAGCGAGATTGTGTAAGCTATCTTGAAGTGATTGATAAGGCAAGAATTCCCATTGTCAAGATGGTACATAAGGCGAGCAGTATTCATGTGGACGTGTCGTTCAATATTTCTGGCGGCTTGGCTACTGGAGATCTCGTTAAGCACTACATGAGAGTATATCCGTCCTTTCGACCGCTGACTCTTGTACTCAAGTATTTTATGGCGCAACGAGGATTGAACGAGACTTATACGGGTGGAGTTGGCTCTTTCCTGCTGCAAATGATGGTGGTGAGCTTCTTACAGCATCACGGGCGTGTGCTAGGAGCTAATCATGACAACCCAAAATTTAATAATCTGGGACATTTGCTCTTGGACTTTTTCACGTTGTACGGACGCGACTTCAACTACACAGATCTTGCTATTTCCGTGCGCAACGGTGGTTCATACTTTCTCAAGGAATCGCGCTACTGGTACGACGATTGTAGACCATTCCTTATCTCGATTGAAAATCCAAATGAGCCGAGCCTTGATATCGGCAAAAATTCGTATGAAATGCGCACTGTTAAGCGATCGTTTGACTATGCCCGACAGGTATTACAAAATGAAATACACCGCCATGGTCGTTTCAAGTCGCTTTCTGGTAGCATTTTGGGCACGATTATCCAGGCAGATAGCAAATTGGTAAATAGAAAGCCTCCTACACGATTCGGGTATGATATTTTGCATCACGATCCTGTTCGGACAGCTGAGATCCGCAAACAGTACGAGGCTCGACGTGATGAAGAAGCAAGCAAAAAGCGCAAAATAGAGACAATGCAGAGTACCCGACAGAATACGAATAATGAACCTCCGTACAAGCGTTGGCGAGGACGTACGAATCGAGCTTACTAACAGCTGTGTTTTGGTGGGTGCGTCTAATTCATCATTTTATTCACAAAAATGACTTGCGTGGTTTCGTAATACGGATCTATGCTTTATGCTGCAAACTAGACATTATATTTGGCCTGATTTTAATAAACCTTTGGACAGACAGTGATGTTGGGTTTTTGATCTTCCACTTATTGCCATTCGCTTTCCTGTAGTTGCGCTGCTCTTCGGGGGACATGTCTTTCATCTTGACAAATTCATGTTTGCAAGTCTCGCTACATGCTCCCATCATGGTTGCTACACATTTAAAGCACTGCAAACTCAACGCGTGGCACATAAGATTGCTGCAATTGGTGTGGTGGTTGCACGGCTCACCGCACTGCAGACATTGGCCCAGGATGTCTTTCGTTACCTCTTCCGATTCAGTAAATTCTGCAACGCATCGCTGGTCAAATACAAAATTTTTGCCTTTGAACAAAGATACTTCGTCAATAGCATCGCCCGACTCAGCGCACGCTTTCACCGCAGCCGAGCGTTGTTTCTGCAGATATTGCACATAGTTGATGATGCCGCCGTGAAGCTTTTGCACATTTGAAATACCCTTATGCTGAGTCAGGTATGCCCCGATTTTCTCACAGCGAATCCCGCCAGTACAATACATCATGACTTCCTTCGGTTTATGTCCGTCGTGCTCCTTCTCATGTTTCTCAAAAATGTCATCCAGTGCATCAAACGTATCTCTAAAAGTCTCGACCATGATCCTTGTCGCTCCATCAAAGCGTCCAATCTCGTGCTCATAGACATTTCGTACATCCAATACCAAGGTATCTGTGTCATTTGCATCGTTCCTTACCTTAAGTTTTCTATGCCATTGCTCCGGCAATAGAGATTTGCCCGTCTCTTGCAGATTCAAGTCGCCTTTTCGGTATCCATCGTGCAAAATTTGGTTGCGTATACGAATATCTAGCTTGTGAAATGGTTCGGTAGCCATCTGTACCGGTGTCTTATCGATCAATTGACCGTAAAAGAGCTTAGCATTTTCAAGTAGACTTGGAAATGAGCATCTGAAAGCATTTTCACTTTGCTGTGGAACGACTATCTGGGCATTTATCCCTTCTTCTGCGATATAAATACGTCCCAAGACGCCAAGATTTCCCCACTGCTCACGCATCTCTTTCTGAAGTTGAGGCAATTCGGACTTGTCTATTGGTGTGTAGTTGTACAGGCTGATATACTGGCGGCCATTCATTTGGACTTTAACGTCAAAACTACTATATTGACGCTGTAACTCAACTTGTGAAAGACCCGCGAAAAGACGCTTTTGAAGCAACAATGAGCGTCGAAGACACAGCAAGTCTCCAGTTCGAATAAAACTAGGCATCTTTGGAATAACAATTATAATACTGGCGGGAAAATAATTATAAACAATCTGTATGTAATGTATCATTAGTCTTATACATTGTATCGTGCGTCAACGATTAGGTAGGCGGAGTGTAAGTGGTTAGCAAGGTGCGGACACGCGATCCAAGCGAGGCAACAATTACTATTCAGCTCTATTACGAAAATGTGGAGGCAGACAGTTCATCACGATTTCAAAAGATTCTATCCAATTTTGAGCAAGCAGGGCAATTCACTGACGGCTTGGCAATGGCATGATGGCGTTAAAAACTCATATGCAATCACAATGGGTTCACAGAACGTTTACGATCACAAGAATGGATGCTTTGATAAGATTATCATTGATAAGGTTGATGCAGAAAATACAAAATCAGAGTATCACGGAAGGAAATTTAAGCTACGATTGCCAAAGGAGGTCAGAATGATTAAGGAGCAAGACGCATATCATAAGCAACAATCAATATGGCGGGGGTCACCTATTCCGAGCACATTTATGACGCACGTCAGCAAGCGATTGAATTTGTTATTGTCAAGAAATTTGCTTGCGCGTCATTACACGGTTTCAAAGACTCTGGATAAATCTGTCGACGACACTCGGCTTCATAGCCTTTATGTCTACAATAAAAGCAGTGTTCTCACGGATAAGGCATTGCTTCAAACTTTACGCAAAGAGACAATAAATACTTGGCCCAAGGCTAACCAACTCATCGATGAGATGCAGGGAAAATTTCTTTCCTTTCTCGTGCAAACTACTCGGGCTAAACACGTGCTAGAAATCGGCTGTTTCACGGGTTACTCGGCTTTATGTCTTGCCAATGGCTTGGAACAGGACGGATCGCTCGTGACATGCGATATTGATGCTGAGACTATGCAATTTGCCCAGAAATTCTTTGAACAGAGCTCGCACGCAGCTCAAATCACCGCTTTGAATCAGGACGGTCTCGAGTATTTGAGTACATTACCGCGTGACTTTCAATGTGATTTTATCTTCGTTGACGCGAATAAGCGCAAATATCGCGAATATTACGACTTTATCATGGATCATAACGTCCTTCACCCGTACGGGTTGCTAGTTTTTGACAATACATTATTTCGAGGTCATGTCGCAGCTTACGATGCCGGATCATTAAGTTCAAAAGAGCACATTGCCCGCAGCTTAGCTGAATTTAACACTTATGTGGCTCAAGACTCACGAACGTCACAAGTAATAATGCCTTTGTGGGACGGACTTACACTTGTACGCCTAGCGCGATGAGACAAATTTTTGAAGATACAAATAAAGCATAGAGCAGTTTATATGATAATAGAAATTGATGTAAATTAATAGCTTTCCAGCTTAAAGCAAATGCTTATGTGTGATCCATCGTAGACAGTAGCTGTGGGCTCGGTTCTGCTGGTTGAAATCCACTACGTAGGGCCCCATGCGTGAGTAATAAATATTCGTCACCTATCGCAAGCATATGGCGAGCACGGACACCGGTCTCTTGAGCAGCGACAACGGGGGATAGAACAGCGAGAGCGATACTTGTGATGCAGCAGAGAAGCTTCATGTTGAGAAGGGTACACGAATTACGGTTTGATAGGAAGTAACGAAAATTAAAACAGTGCAATACTTCATGTCCAATTATATTCAAGTATTAATAGATATTGTACTATAGAAGCGACAAAAATGGATTTTTCGGTGTATTCCATGCTTGTCGGGACAGTAGTATTATATACCAATCAAAGGATGACGTCTCTGCTTAGTTATTTCAAGCTTAAGTAAAAATTATATCCAATGCTGTTGGTCTATTGCAAAGGTTGTAAAGTTTTTTCATTCAGTTAATTAACTTACTTCTTTAAAATATCAGACGCTCTATTTAGTTAATATTAAGATATACAATAAAATCTGATTTATGACAATGATAATTATTAATTTGTTTCCATATATATTTTCTTATACAAATGTGCTTCTAACTGCAGTTTAATTTCCAATGCTAGGCAAGGCGCCTATTTCTGTAAATTGCGGCGTTGCTAAGTATTACATTCGATGGGAACGCCCCGACTTGATAACTCGTACTGTACGGCATTATTGTACAAGCTATTGGTAAGTGATAAAAAATCCAATGCAAGTGCGAGTGATTGCGACGGGGTTGCCGTGCAATTTTCACAGAGGAAGCTTCGCTTAGAGTCGCATACTGTAACGGGGTTACATGAGAGTGACCCGTCACTGTCCCAAGGGAGCTGTGGTGTG